CAATGTGTTTTTAAACGGAGCAGAAATAGAACTAGTCTCCCACTTCAAGTATCTTGGAGTCATAATGGACTCGAACTTGACTTTTAAGAAACATATCAAGAAAGTATCCAATACCATTAAAATCAACATGGAAAATGTTAAACAAATTAGACCTTTCTTAACTGTCAATGCTGCAAAGTCATACCTCCACTGTATGATTCTATCCCACATTGAATACTGTTTTACAAACTGGTCGTTTGCTTGTGCCACACACCTGAAACCAATAGAACAGCTGTACAAGAGAGCTATCAAGGTGTTTGACAGAAAGCCAAATTCATACCACCACTGTACCATCCTTGAAAAACACAATTTCTTAAGTTTTGACAATTTTAAGTCTTTTAAAAGTATGTGTTTTTTTTATAAATGTTTACATGGACTTGGCCCCCCTCCCTTAGGGGAATTCATCCACAAAAAACACACTGGACGCTGCACTAGGTCAGAAACCAGAGGAGACTGTGAAGTCCACCGTAGACAGACCACTTTTGGACAAAATGTCCTCTCCATTAAAGGCAGCTCATTGTGGAATAGCCTCCCAACTGAGACACGGGATTGTCCCACTCTCAATAGTTTTAAAGGTCAACTCAAAGAATGGTTGAGAAACAAACATCCGTGTAATCACCGCTAAATGCACTTTAACACAGGGGTATCTCCTCTTGCACTTTATGTAGCTCTTGTATCTTCTCTTGCACTTTACATGTCGTTGCTGCTATATTGTACTACCATGTCATAAATACTTGTGTATGCTGCTCTTGCTCTTTTGCACTTTTTGCATATCATGTATTTTGTTTTTGCTATGTTTGTCAAATGTAATTTTCTTAAATGTTTTATGTGAGGGACTGCGGATGGAAATTAGCTCAAAGCTAAATCTGGCACTGTTACGCTTGACACATTTTAATGTTTCAAGTGTTCATTACTGTGCATTGTCCCTGCCAAATAAACGATTAAATAAATAAAATAAATAATGGCACTACAATTAATATGGGTTTTTTATTCAATATTCTTAAGCAATATATGACAATTTCCTAATATTAATCCTTTATTACCTTTTTGTAACATTTTTGGTAACCTGTATGATGCCTTATGATCATAGTTTATTGTATGCTGGTAGTGTGGTTATACCTGATAGTGAAAGTCTTTGTTTCCTGAAAAATCTTGAACTTAAATGAAACTACCTGATATTGGATTAAAAGGTAAATATCACTACAGGAAACAATGGTGTAGTGCCCTCTCAAATGGGAACAAAAACAATCATAGTGAGCGCCCTTCATTTCTTTTGTTGCTGGTAAAATAAGTGGATGAAATCATGGAAACATGAACACCAACTCAAACACAAGGGCTGCTGTAGTGGCAACAAATGCAAAACATGCCATCTCTCTAAAGCGTGCACCTGCAGTCAAGCGGTGCCGTCCATCAGCTCGACACTCTCACGCTTCGAGGCTTTATTACCACATCCATTCTGATGATCTCTCCAAACACATCACACACAATATGAAGTCTGCCTTCTTTTTTCTCCTCGTGCACAAATGCTGCCGCCCCGGGTCGCTCTGAGCTCTTTTCATTATCGACCAGGCTGTTTGTCTGCCAGGCGGCTAATGTGTTAGATTAGGATCCGTCAGATGTCAGGTAACAGCCTTCCAACACGGCTGTGGTTTTTACTGAGGTCTCACCATACAGCAAGGACTATTCTGGCGGTGGCAATAATGCATTGTCAGACCTAATGCATGTTGATTCGGGGGGGATGCATCATAAACACGGGCTGTAGATGTGTCCCTGTGGAACACTGATGTAAAACACAGGAGTCCTTGGTGTAAACCCAACGTGATGCAATAACCAGCATTTATAGATGGTACTATGTTGGTATTTACTTACATTTTGGTCAAGTTATTTGATATATTATCATAATTGAAACTGCTAATTATGAATAATGCTATAATTTATTTATTGTTATAACATTTTGTAACCAAATTATTCTTAAACCTTTAATAATAATAATAATAATAATACATTTTATTTTTAGGCGCCTTTCATGACACCCAAGGACACCGTACAATTTGTTAAAAAATAAATAAAACGCTAATAGGCAACAAAACATGATAAAAACACAAACAGGAAATCATGGAGGAGACAGTTAAGTGGACACAAATGAAACATATAATGGGGAGCACTACAGTGAGTAGGCAGATCTGAACAGGTGGGCTTTAAAACGTCACTTGTAAAACATCTATAAGCATTATAAAGATAGATGTAGATATTTGCATCATTTGTTAATAATTGTTTCATAAAACAGTCTATAAATACTTTTTGGATGGCTATCATGGCTTTATTGATGGCAATTATGTAAGGGATAATGTGCAGCGACGCGGTCATTATGGGGAAAAGAACACCGACAGGCTGATCAGGAGCCCGACGCGAAGCGGAGGGATCTAGATCTGCATGAAGGTGTTCTTTTCCCCATAATGACCAAGTCGCTGCACATTATCCCACTTATTACATGGCCACATTCTCAACAAAGTAATGATATGACTCCCACTATTAATTGAAATGCTTTTATGGATTTAGAAAATGATTTTATTGATTTAAAAAATAGTTGTATGTATTGATTTAAATTGACATGCATCCGCTAAGGAAAATAGTCCGCAAAAAAACGGAGCAACGCAACGGCAGGAAGGCGGAGCTTTTTGATTACAGATTTGAAAACATCGTTGCTTGCTTTAAAATTAGCACAATTCATTATGTCAAACCTTGGAAAGTATCTAGATATCCCTGCCCTAATGCCAAAGTAACTGGCAACTGAATATGTGTCGCCGTTTGATGTCTCTGTCTGGACCGCTGCGTAAAAAGGAGGGTTTCTGCCCGTTACTTCTCCGCTGTTTTCTTGTCGCTCTTGTCTTGTCAGTTAGAAAAGCAAACTGCATGCAGTTTGCTTTTCAGCCAAACTGTATACAGTTCAATCGACCGGACTTCTGCAGATTTGAGCGTCCTTAACAACGGTCATAAATCCTTGACAGCGGTCTGTCTGTTCTGGATTAACAACTTTTTTAACCACATCACACTAGTCACTGCATAAAGTGTGATAGATTCTGTATTTAACTTTTGTTAGAAGCCGGTACTTGTGGATTGTAGGGAGCATTGCCATCAAATCTTGCATACAAGATCAAAGCAGTGCATAACACTCGCAGAGCAGAAACTAAATGTTGCTTTTGTGAACCAGACTTCAGTGTGTATATTGGCAGCCAACAGCTGAGGCAGATTTACCAGAAAAAAACTTGTTCTGACGCGTTTTTCCGAAAGGTTAGCTCCGGTTCACACAGCATCAAAGGATCCTGCCATATGAAAGCAATAGAAAATAAAAGCATCACGAATATCTGTCAATTTCAGATGTTTGGCATTAAATATTCAGGTATCCGCCTGTTTGTTTTTCTGTGTTTGATGTTTGCTGAGGTGTAATAACACATCTGTTTGACATGAATCACACGGATGAACACCAGCAGACAGGAGAGGCTGGAAAAAGTGCAGTGACTCCTTAAAATCAAATCCTTTTCAACATTTCAACTTTCTCTTTACTGCTGTACAGGGATTCTTAGAAAATGCAACAAAACCTAGGCCCTGATTTGAACATTTGACAATGATAATCAATAATAAGATACCTTTTTATGCTAAATTATAATGGAGTGGTGCAGTTATGACTCCTAGGACCCAGAAATAACACAGCATTTCACCACTTCCTGTTCCCTTGTCTCAAAGTCAAAGGTTTTTTGAATGTGTGTGTGGTTAGAAGCCTGAAATAAGGTCTGTGGTTAACACAAGCTGAAGAGATTTTGATATTTTGTTATACGACATAAAATGTGCCAGTAATCACTCCACAGGGGGATGTTCGAAGTGTTTATGTGTCATAAAAACGGCGGTTGCAAACAAGTGACTAAATAACGCTGACACAAGTCTGCGGTGGTGATGCAGTCGTTTATAGCCTAGCGTTAGCTTTTTACTTGTGGTTTGCAGAGGTTTTTCTATAAAAATATAATATGGGGGCAATACTGTGGCGCTGATCTGGTATATATGATTTATCAATTCTCGAGAGAACATGACGGCCTTAAACAAGATGGCGCTGCGGATGTAACCAACAACGTGACGTCGGAGCTCCGTAAAAACAAAGCTGTCTAGGCCTTCTGACGGTAGTAATTATACAGTTTTAGACTAACAGAGATATTGTTTTCCTGCATCACATTTTAGGGGGGAAATTGACATTTTGGTAAAAATAGCACAGCGCTCCTGTTACCCGGTTTAGACAAAACCCTGGCAATTGCATTAACGCTTAAAAAATCACAAAGTAGAGTTAATATGTAGAGATTATCCTGCTGAACAAACATGTTGAGTATCATAAATGTGTGATGGCCACAGAGCTTATATTCTTCAATTTACCGAATTCCAAATCCCATTGCTTTTTATCGAGGGACCCATTTGCTATGCTAACTTCTGAGTCTGGCCTACGCCATAACTGCACCCCTCTATAAGAGGCACTGAATGACCATGGGTAATTAAATGCGTCTTTTTTAAATGATTTGATCCCACAAACTATTTATTTGTATAGGTCAAAGCCTAGACATTTATTTTCTGGTTTAAGACTAACTTTAAGAGTTATTTGTGGAGTATAAACAGCAAACAGCTCCAGTTTCCAGCTACATCTACACTACAGTAACTCCACCTATGAACTGCATATGGTGAAGTATAGCACAACATTGTATAAGCACTGTTAACCTGAAGGCTATCGACTTATAGTTGGACGAAAAGGAGGCGGCTGTGTTTCTCACGTCTCTTTTTACTGTGTGTGTGGTGCTGCTCTTAAACTGCTCGGGCAGCTTCTAACCTTAAGTAGAATAAAACACTCGCACATATATGCATCTCATATAAAGGCCACCATCTTGGTTAAGTAAACAGGCCGTGCAGTGAACAGTAAACCTTACCTCGGTGCTTCACTCAGCAGAGGGGAGCTGAGAGAGTGATGGAGGGGGGTGAAAGGTCGCGCTGACTGGATCTTCTTCCTGCGCGGCCACGCTACAGTCACACCTGAACAGCTGGATTCTGTAAGCAGAGGCCACCTGAACGCAGCAGACATACAGTGCTGTTAGAACCATGTGAACATATGGATGATGTGACGAGTTATTTTAAACTGGTACCATCAACTAAGGATGACTTCAATTAGCCTTTACTGATATACATTAGCTATATTAGCTTTTCATTCCTGTTGACATCTCTGGATATATATATACACGTTACCTTTCATTATGAAGTTAAATCTATTCCTGTTTAACCTAGTTTATTCATTTGCAATACTACTGTTCAGCTTCAAGTAGTTGTTGTGCATATGGTAATAAAGAACTTGGATCTTGAAACACATCTTTTTTTATAATCTATATCTGACCATGATAATAGGAGATCATAATTGGACTGTATAAATCTCCAATGAAATTCATATATGGCTACAAAACATGTGAGGCGAGTGATTTGGTCAAAGAAGCCCTATTATGCTTTTTGGGGGTTTCCCTTTCATGTAGTGTGCTATATAGATTTCTGTGCTTGTAAATGGTCTGCAAAGGTTAAAATCCCAAAGTTCCCTCCAGAGGGAGATTCTCTCCCACCCTGCCTGAAACGCCTCCATTAGATTCCTTTGTTTAATTCTGTAAAATACTGATCACTATGTTAAACTCGCGCTTCTATTGGCTAGCGCTTCAACACATTGTACGTGATAGGCTAAGGGATGGGAGATCTCTAAGCAGTTGACCAATCACAACAGAGCCAGTCAGCTAACCAATGAGAGCAGACAGGGCTCTGGTTTTAGACAGAGGGTGAAAAGAGGTGCTGCAGCACAGGCAGTATGAGAAAAATAAAGAGCTTTTTGAACATTAAAGCATGGAAGCATTTCACAGTGGAGGCACAAAATATAAATATGAACCTGAAAATGAGCTTAATAGGGCCCCTTTAAACTTGATTGTCATAAGGAGCACATTTCTTTTGTCATTTGACACATTGTTAGTGCATCTAAGGTGGTCTAAAAAGAGATAAACTGCGCCAATGAGTGAAACTGCAAGAAATATGAAAATACACTGAGCTGATGTGAGCTCACCCCTCTGAATCGCTGTCGGAGTCGGAGGAGAAACTGGGAGGTCGTGGCTCTGTTCTCAGCTGCTCCTCCCTCCTCATCCGCTGCCTCTCATCTTCCTCCTGCTTCTCCTGCTCCTCTTTCTGCAGGAGGTGGAAGTAGCTCTGGCCTCGCTTAATTGCCGACGCCAAACGCCTGCAAAGCATGGAGACAGGAGCGGGAGTCATAAATACAGGGCAGCACCGTCACGCTTTAATGATGATAAATGTTCACTTTCCAGGAATCAAAATGACAGATAAAATCGCAGAGAGAACAAATGCCAGTCCCACACATTAATATCCTGTCAGACAAACAAAAAACCATCACAGCCCATGAGTTACGGTCAGACGTGCTCACGTGACTTTACAATAATCCCTCACATCCATCGAGCATGCATGTACGCACGTGCACACACATACACAAAGTGCACTGTAAATCATGCAAATCAGAGCACACCAAAGCTGCAGGCAGGCACAAATGACACCTAACTAGAGCATTATGGGAGAAACGTGTTACATCTGGCCAGATTAATGACTTAATTATAGAGGTTTAGCTTTCAACCATAACCTTTCCTCAAATACTGTTTGCTTGTTTTTCTCATACTGCACGCGTAATTACCTTTGCATTAATGCTGCAGTGGAAAATTAAAAGAGGCTGCTTAGAAGCAACTGTCGTGATGGCTTTGTCAGTGGAGCGGCTGAGCTAACACACTTCAGTGTTTCTTAATCATTTTACATCGCCTTCTAGTGAGTGAAGGAGGCAGAGGAAAACCAGGTCAAAGTTCACTCTGCGACGAAGCTCTCTGTGCTGAGCTGGAGTGGAGAGTTAAGATGGGAGTACGATGTTTTATTGTTTGAATCAACTGAGATTCAAAGGGATATTACAGGGATGTGATTTAAAATGTAAAAAAGGCTCTGGTTCGTTTTACATAGATGTTACCAATGTTGGAAGACCAGGGCATTTCAGTGTGATAATAAAACCAAATTCTACAGAATAGGTAATAATTAAATATGAATGTTTATGTAGTTTCAATGAAATTGTCATTTCCAGCCAACTGTAATTATAAAACTAACAGTGCGAGCCCCTTTACAAAGGTCACATGTGAAAAATGTTGTGATGAATTGGTAATTTGTGGGTTTTTACTCATCATGCTACTACAACATGCAACAAGACACATACTGTACGGTATCTGCAAACAATAGGTATAGTATATTCATATGTATACTTCTATGTATATATCTTATATTGAGTTACACTTAGTTAACTCATACTACAGTCTGAAGTGAAGTTCAGAGTGTACTTGATACAGACTGAGATATATTGGTGTACCCATAAACCAATGCTTTCAAATTGAAAGCCTTCTATTGGGTATCAGCTTTCATCAATTCAAGAGTACCCAAAAAGTTACGACTGTCAGACAGCACCAATCCTTTATGTTTAGCATATTTGATCATGCATCGCAGGTTCAGTTACATGTGTTAAACCCCATTATCAAACCCTGTGTTTCTCCCTTGTTTTAAAGGGGCCCTATTATGCTAATGTTCAAGTTCCATATTTATATCTTGTGCCTTTACTGGGACACGTTAACATGCTTTAATGTTTAAAAATGTCTTTATTGTTCTCATACTGCCTGTGCTGCAGCACCTCTTTTCACCCTCTGTCTGAAACCAGAGCCCAGTCTGCTCTGATTGGTTAGCTTGACGGCTCTGTTGTGATTGGTCAAACACTTAGAGATGTCCGGCCCCTTAGCCTATCACGTGCAATGTGTTGGAGGGGATTGTTGCCTTTGCAGCCCATTTACATGCACACAAACCTATACTACACACTACAGGGAAGGAAAACCCCAAAAAGCATAATAGGGAACTTTTAACTTCCATTAAGCTTGGCTGCAAATGTGTTTCAGTGGCCATTTGTAATAATGCAATGAAAAAATCTTTGCAGAAGCATTTTCCCACCATTGTATTAGAGACGTATTTGAAAAGATGTATGCAAGTTGAGTGAGCCTTTAACTGTCTCTAGTCCTCTTGGTCGAAGAGCCTGAAAATGCAGAAGCTCAAGCAGGAACAACATCTTGAGTGTATTGCAGTAGGCACATACGTATTGGAACCCAGTATCTACTAAATCAATATATGAAATAGGAATCAAGGTTACAAAATACAAAGTTTTGCAAAAGTAGTAAAGTGAGGGGTCTGAGGCACGGTGACCATAGTTACTCTCGTAACCTTTCTGTTAAAGGCCAAGTGGAACTTTTGCGAGGATAAAGCACAAACGGCACATATGCCTGCATATGTTCCAATCCTCTTCTGCTCCACTTCTTATTTTGTTATCTAGCGAGCAGCTGGCTGGTAATATTTTGCCCACAAGTAGAGCCAAGCACTTCAGCCTAGGAGGGGGGCACAGAGCACTTGTACTGCAGCATGCTAATTTGGCTCAGTTTGGCGATACACAGAGTGCACCAGTTTAGCTCGGAGGCATGTCTGTTCTATTTGCATACCACCACACCCCTGATATTACTTATTAATCTTCAGATGTGACATCTAAGTCCAAAATGCAGCAGTCTTAATTAAAGTGTGTTTCTATCAGCATCGCTAATGACTCGTAGCTTCAAATGTGCAAAAAAGTTTTTCCCCAGAGTAGCTGCCGGCTGCCAATAGAGGGGGAGGTTGCTTGGTGACCTTGCCTCAGACGTGACTCATTTTGTTAGCACTCTGTACTCAAGTGGCTCTTTCACTTTAGTTCATATAAGGTTGTTATTTTAATTGATTAATATATTCTTAATGGCAGGCTAGTGGGTGTCTTTTTGATTGTGTTTGATGCACCACATAAACAAATGTTTGTGCAACAGCACCGGCTAAGCCTGAATGTAACATGAAAGCTAAATAATAATGTGCTAAAGGGGAAGAAAGGGGCCGAGAGGGAAAGCAGCAGAGAGAATAAAGCGGCCGAGTCAATGGAAGGCTGCAGTATTTGGTGTGACAAGAAAATAAAAGGCATGGAGGAGAAGCAGTGTCAATACGCAAACACACAATGAAACTTTTGTGTTTGAAAGCCAAGAAGCTCTGAAGTGAAACCCCATTATGCCTTTTCTCATCACCACCGTCTGTCTTCCCAGTCAATAACAAGTTGTTCTTCTTTTGTGAGAGTGAATCATGACCACAAATCGGGCTGGCTTGAAAAGCTCATTAAAGACGACGGCGCTTGGAACGGAGGCTTGAACGGTGGTTAAAAATTGATTTAAAAAATGTCCACATTTGTGCATTGAGGGAGGGTGTTGGTAGAGGGGGGGACGTTTTTTTTTTTTGGATGGCAGCTTGTTGCCAGGCAACAAAAAGAGATAGGGTTTGTGGTGGTTAGGAATCCATACAGTGATTAGACCAACTAAGATGTCCGTGTGTCATAATCGCACAGGTGCATTTTTGAAGCATGAGTTATGATTCAAGCCTGGATTTCGCAGGGTATGATGCACAAGCGACTGCAGCATGACATTAAGGAATTTCAAACACATTTAATAATTAAATCCTAATTATAACTCTAGCAGAAGAATGGAAGGTATTATCTGTCATCTGCAACGTGTTGAGAAACAGGATTCGCAGCAGTGTTGACAAGACAGCGTGGGATGTTTCGTGTCAACATCGCCAGAGACAAATGGCAGGCCACGACAACACAAGATGGCACAGTCATACGTGACAGACTGCCACAGGCAAGGGTACGAGCCAAAACGCTGATTAAGCTTTGTAGCGTCTACTGAAACAGAACAGGAAAGAAACAGCAAGAAATAAGAAATCAAACTGGACCCTGATGTTATTTTCACATCAGACCATTTCAAGGAGAACCACAGTTCACCTCCATATTGTGACAGAAATTACTCAATGCATGCATAAGGACTGGTTAAAGCCATGAAAGCATTACCAAGATCCATACAGATCCTTAGACATCCTGTAAATAACATGACAGTTGTGGTGCAAAATCTTTAAATGTGTCCTAATTTCCACCTCATCTTCAAAAGGAGACAATTATTACAGCTGTGTATGTGTTTTTGGGATTACCTCCATTATGTGACAAATCCCCGTCCTACGGAGGATTAGGGCCATTTGCAATACATTATTAGACACCCTGAACCAGTTTTTCTGATATTTCTGTGTTTTTAATCTAAGGATAGTGATATTTTTTTCAGAATTCTGTTAATGGACTTGCATTTATATAGAGACGGGGATCAGAATGTCGATATTCTTATTGGTGGATGACATGCTCAAACTCCTGAGCTACAGCTGGCCCTTAAAGGTGGGGTAGGTAAGTTTGAGAAACCGGCTCGAGATACACTTTTTGTTATATTCCATGGAATGCTCTTAACATCCCGATAGCAATGAATATCTTAAGTGCTTTGACAACAAATCCATAAAAAAATGTCATCTGTGGAAGCCGTAGTACTGTAAAAAGCACGACCAATCATTTTAGCCGGCCCGGCTAAAATAACTGGATGGCCTACCTGCCTGTCAGCCTTCCATCTGTGCACAAACTTATCTCGTGTCCCCATTGGTCATGTGCACGTTCGTGTGTGTTGGAGGAGGGGCTCTGTAAGGAAGTGGCAGATTTGTTCCGGCTGTGTATTTTCAAATTCTAGCGCACTTGAGCTGGTTTCTCCAAAATTACCTACCTCACCTTTAAGTCAAAGAGCTCCAATGTTTTTTTTCCACACCACTCATCCTTACTCCTTTTGACATGAATGGAATTAATGAAGATCCTGACAAGGGGAATTATTTTCCCTTGTCAGGATACATTATGTTCTATATCTGGATGTCACAAAGTGTTATCATACATATACCACCTCTCAGAGAAGTTGTGATCAAATCCTCCTCTTTAAAACTTTGTTTGCAGACCGCACTTAAAGTACTATTATTGTTTCTAGGAATTAAATAAACCTTGTGAACTGATGGTTTAACAGTCTACCTTTAAAGGTCTTATACAGTAAACAAAATGATATATTAATGAATTTAGTGTTTCTTTCCAAGCAGATCCATGTGCTACACAGCATATAAGTACTGTCCAAGTACCATAACTCCATGGAAAAATGTACAGCCTGTTTTCTGGGGCTTCTTAATCAGCTGTCAGCATCCAATGTATTCATGTGGCTCTGATCTGTAGCTTAAAACCTGCCAGCCAGCAAACAAAAATGATTGTCTGTCAAACATCCATGTCCAACAAAACTGATACTAAACCCATATTTGATAATCGTATTAGTTGCGTATGGTTTGTGTGAGCTGTATAGCTTAAAGAGTGAATAGAATTCAATAATAGAGCTGTGACAGTACCATGCAAGACAAGTTGTTCAATTACTTTGTTTGAATATTGAAACTACGTCCACTTGCTTTCTTGCAGAGAGTTGGAGTAGATCATCAAAACTATTCTCATATCTAATTATTAAGTATATCGTAGTCTTCACTTAAAAATGGAAGACACTAAAGCTCTGATTCTCGATCTTCATCAATGATTTTCCTGTGTTTCAAAAAGCTGAACAGAAAGTGCTAATTTTGGTGAAAAAGAGGTATAAAGCTTAAAAAACCCACCAGTAACTCTTAACCTGTTAAGCCCTGAGCCTGTTTTTCAGGTCTCAGGCTCGAAAATGATATTCCCAGAACAAATGACCATATCTTCCCTTCTAAAAGGGTTAAATTAATAATCTTTTTTCTCAAAGTAATGATAAACCTGTGAGTTGGATGTAGAAAAGTCAGAACAATATAGATGTTTTTTATTTTAAAGAAAATTCAGATTTTACATAGTAAAAAACTGTAAATTATAGTGTCCGTCCAAAACTTATTTTTTACTTATAGTGAAAACTACCCTTGGATGATGGTAAGGTAGACTAAAAGCTTTAGGAATCCAAAGTACAACATATAATAAGTACCCTGTATCAAGATTGATGCAACACAAGTGACATTTGACCTTTTTAGAGAGGTTTAGCAAAAAGACTCCATCTCTGAGGTGATTTGGGTGGAAATGGGTTTTTTTCCATATCTCTGGCCCCCCTTTGTCGATTTTGATGGTTGACACCTCTTTCTGACCGTTAGAGCCAATAGAATCGAAGGGGGATCCCCCCACACACACTCGTTGTAAAACAAAAATGTGGGGGCTTTGCGCATGTAGTTTTGCATGAGAGTGAAACTACACTCTAGCTCTGACATCTAGAAACGGAAAAGCATGGATCATCCGTTTTATTGCTCATGGATTATCAGAAATCATTTCAAAGGGACACAGACACATTGGATTAACCTATGGATTAACTTCAGCAGCGTTTTTATCTTTTTAATGCCATTGAAGACCACTTTGGAGCAGACTACAGAGACAAGGTAACCATGTTAGCATTTTTAGCTACCTAGCGCCACATGTTTTGATGTCTGTTTTTGTTTATAACGTCGCGATTTCGTATAATTGAGTGATAATGAGGGTACCCTTCGATTCTGTGTCACCTCACGATGTGAAACGATGTCATGGATGTGGAGAAAAGATAAATAATAAGGTTTTGCGAGTGATTTTCGGTGCAGTAATCTGTTAGCATTTTTTGCTCGTTGCTAATTCAGAGGCTCAGTGTTAGCATTGTGGGTTTCTTTTTGAAAAATCGACATCGATTCACATCGTGAGGTGACACAGAGTCGATGGGTACCCACATTATCACTGAATTATACGAATGTCACTATAATTTACAGTTTTTTACTATGTAAAATCTGAATTTTCTTTAAAATAAAAAACATCTATATTGATTCTGACTTTTTTACATCCAACTCACAGGTTTGTCATTACTTTGAGGAAAAAGATTATTAATTTAACCCTTTTAGAAGGGAAGATATGGTCATTTGTTCTGGGAATGTCATTTTCGAGCCTGAGACCTGAAAAACAGGCTCAGGGCTTAACAGGTTAACAGGTTAAGATCATTAGTTTCCTCCTTAGCTAAACACACTAAAAGGGGACACAATTAATTTTTTGTTCTTAGGTTGAACTGACCCTTTAGTGCCATTACTGTGGTGAGAAAAGACAATGTTGATAATCATATTTCATGATTTTAATTCATCAAAATGAAATATTGAGTGCTAAAAAACAGACCACTTTGTGTCAAATGTTTCGACCTGTCCGAGCTGAAAACAATTAAAGCTTGCTGATTAAGTGTAAGATTGCCAGAAGAGCATTGAGACGTACAGGCTTTAGACATGAGAGCTGAAAGTAAAATGGGCTGCCATTTGTCCTTAAAGGCATCACAGACCCAAATCATTAGTACTTTATTCACATGCAGGGACAAACTGCCATAATTCATCTGGGGGTTGGTATCTCCTGTGAAAATAGCAACCTTTCCCCATAACACCTGTATGAATAATTCAACACTCTAGGCTCTATCAGAGGCCGTCAGAAATGTCAGCTGGTTGGAAGTACCCTTGGAGCCCCCAGGGGATGTTGTCTCTAGTGGGGTGGTGGGTTGCACACACAAATACACGCACACACACACACACACACATCGGACCAAATGCCAGCGCTTTTTCATTGCCAGGACTCCTCCCCTGCAGGACACACAAGAACTGAAACCTTTTTTTAAGAGGTATGTTATTTTTAAATGTGAATTTTTCCATATGCTGCTTTTGCAGTCCTCCCCCAGGAAAACTCAGCTAGACACCACATATTTGTATCAACAGAAGGGGTCATTTGTTCCATATTTGCTTATCACTCACAGATCAACTCTCACCTGGTGTGGCCCAGATGCTTCCTCAGGGAAACGATATCAGCTCTCTTTCCAGCCTGCGTAAGACAAACTGGCCATCTCTGGAAAAGAAAGTGCACAAAAACAAAGACGTAAAAACAAAAGGACTAGCAGCCAGCTATTATCTTTTTTTCGTACGAGTAGCTCTGGAGCTCAGAGCAATTTTTCACCCATGAAATTGGGCAGAAGGCCAGGAGTAAAGATTGTGTCTCTATGACATCGCTTTTGGAAATGACAGTTAATCAGGCAATTCATCTTTACATAATTAACTGCAAAGGGTAAAAAAACCTCCTTCTGTAAGATAAACTGATGTTTTCAACGATTTAAATTGGATGAGGGTGTGTGAGGAGTATAAATGTGGGCTCGAAGATTATCAGTCACCTTACTTCCTCCTGTGGAATCTGGAGGGTTGCCGTTAATGGCTTAGTGGACTATCTATGGTAGGTCATCTGTAGACGCCAATGAATAGATCATCAAAAATAATGCAGGGAGGCATTGGCTTGGACTAGGTGTTCATTTTTAACATTCTTCATTTCCAATGTTCTCTTTACTTGCAAACAAGAACAGAAATGTATGTTTTGTCTTCTACACAGATCACCTGGCGAGAAATGACAATGCTACATTTTTGACACCCAGCTTTAGCCCCAGTCTTTTAGCCTGGTAGGCTATAATGTAGGCCTTTATATCAATCGAGTACATATTTGAGACTTCATTTACAAGACTGTTTTAAAACCATTAAGCTGAAACTTAAAGAGTCAGCCGGAGACTGCGTATCAACTAATTTGCAGAGCTAATGCTAGCTTACATTGCTGGCTAGCTCTAGCAGCTAGACTCTCTAGAGCAGTGGTTCTCAACTGGTCAGGCCTTGGGACCCACTTTTTCCTTTGTCAATAGAACGCGACCCGAAATGTTGAACCACTCAAATCTATTCAACAAAAAATCGTGCTGTAATATATACGCTTTTCAGCATACAATGTTAATTAAAGTGAAGTACATAAATCCCTTATATCCCTTCACAGAACTAAAGTATGCTTTTAAAAAAGGTTTAATGAGATGATGGAATCAAAGCTGAACTGTATAACATAAAAAGGCACACATGCTGAAAACCCAACCCCCAGAAGGGGGGTCTGGGGGGATTACTAACATATCAACTACGCATTCTGGTACACTCCGAGAAGAAAATAAATAAATCTATTGCTACCCGACAAATTAATAATATTTTATGCCATTGTTTGTTTTTCACTTAGTTCTGACAGCTGAACTTGCTGCTCCTCACAGAGAGAAGAGCAAAGAGGAGATAGTCTGTGTGAATTACTTTAAATTGTGGGTAAGGGTAGATAGCCCCCATTGTTCTGTGACCTGTCAATCATCAAACCGGGGGTCATATTTCATTATGTGTTCATTTGTATCTGAAGTTGTACCCATGGATGTATAAAGAATAGTTATACCTCAAAGTTATTCTCCGTGGAGACTTCCGGCAACAATCTTGATTCTGATTGGCCAGAAGACTCGAAAAAACATCAGCAAAGATGTTTTATTGAGAAGATGATCACTACGTGACAGAAGTTTTCAAAACCGTTTATGGTCTCCAGTACTTCCAGTCCAACGCCTACTGCATGCACAGTGTTAGGAAATCGGGCCTTCAAAATAAAAGTTTGACCTATTTTTTTTTTTTTCACTCACACATCTGCAACCCACTCGAAACGGGTCCTCGATCCACTTTTGGGTCGCGATCCACCAGTTGAGAACCACTGTTCTAGAGTCTAGCTAAGCGACACTTGTCATTTCGGCCGTTAAAAACATTTTTTGTCTACCTTTTTATGAAGAACCAAATCTTGTCAAAAATTACTATAATATTGAGAGCTAAAACTGCCATCATTGTGGTCCACATATGGGCTATTAAAATGGTATGGCTTGACACATTCAGTACATGAATTGGGAGTGAGCCTGAATCTAGAAGTCAAGCTTGTTTTTTTAAACACAAATTACCCTATAAGTGTTCCTAATTTGCAATTAAAGTTAAATGTTTATGTCTTTGCAGCATCTGGCTATTACAACGTTACTAAAAATGCCTACCCAAGAAAGTATTCCTTACTGATGACATCTAGTACACCTTTTAATCAAGCCACCTCTTAAACTCTGACCACAGATCAATGACTTAAAGGCCAGCCATCTGTTGTTCCAGATCAATCTTGTGTCTTCTTCATCTTCAAAGGCCTTGAAAATTAGTAGCCATGCACAATTAACCTTAACTGCACCGAGCCCCTCGTAGGTCAGTTGGGACAAAAATAATTATGTTCAGTCAAGCTCTGTTTAAACTCACAGAGCACTTATATATATTTGTATTCCAGGGAGATCCCAAACTTTCTAAAAATAAGAAATATATTTGGCTGCAATTTGGGTTAAATGTGCACAAGCATTCTTGAATATATTTAATTATGGCACCACCATGCTAACATGTCTTGCGTTTGAATATTTCACTCCCTTTTAATATGACATTTCTTCATTGAGAGGTTGGAACAGCATAACAGAGATACAAAACAATCTGTTCCAGGGAGTAAATGCTGACTTGCTGGTGGTTAAAGCAGGTAAAAATGTGACTCCTCTAAATGTCATGACTTTCTTCAGAGTAATGGCAAAGCTTCAGATGGACTCGACAAGGACCAGGCCGAGCTCAGGTCTTCAAGCTGCAACATCCAAAGGACAAAAGCAGGTGCCGGAGAGCATGGAAATGCCACTGCCGTCACATTTCACAGCCCCCTGCTCCGCCCCACCGTCTCTCTTCATCTTCCTCCTCACCCTCATCATCCCCTTGTCCACACACACGCTTCTGCTGATGGATGAGCTCATTTGCTGCAAATCTCTTTTGAGTCATACCGGGACACTGTTGTTCTCTCTCTGCTACTTGGACACAGAGAATATAGACCTCAGCCTATGATGCTGTATGTGAATGCAAACAGAAAATGCATGTTCCCATACAAAAGTGAATCAGAAAAACTCCTTCTAAAAGAGCTCAGTCATCCTTTCTAACTTTAAAAAAGATCTGGGAAAAGGACTTAGGGATGCAGATAGATGAAACTACTTGGCTCAATATTTGTGAAAGAATACATTTTCCATTCACAAGCAATAAAATCAAAGAAGCAAACTTTAAATGTATCAACAAATTTTACCTCACACCCATAAAGATGCATACAATTTCCAAAGAAAACTCTCCAAACTGTCCGAGATGTAAAATAAAAGAAGGAACATTTATGCATCTGTTTTGGGATCGTGATCTCTTGAAACATTTCTGGGATTCGATTCATGCTCTCACAAAAGCCGTTTTAGACATCGAAATTAGCCTAAATCCATGTTTTTTCCTGCTAAATGACATGCCAAACTTTAAACTGAATCCCAAACATTACAGAATACTAATCACAATAACATATTTTGCCAAGAAATGTATACTTTTATTCTGGAAGAATGAACATCCCCCAACATTTAAACTTGTCATTGATCAGATAACACATAAATCAAATGTCTGGAGAAAATGACATTGGAAAAATATAATCGTGGACATATTTTTCAAGCTCTGTGGTTGCCATTGTTTTCTTATTTGGAAAATATATCTGAGATATACAGTGATGGAATGGTGCATTCTGTGGCTATTAGTCCTGACGGCCGGAAATACTAGTTGTGGTGTTGTCTGTCTACATTGTCGTTGTATTGTATTATTTGTTTGTTATACTTTGATGTTTTTCTTTTTCTTTTCTTTCTATTTCTATGTTTATTTTCATGGCTCTGTTGATTAAGTTATCTTGATAAGCATTTTTTGGTTTTGCCTGTGTGGGCATGTGCGGGTGGAGGGAGGGAGTGGGGAGTGTAGTGAGTGTACTGTGATATTACAATGTAAATGAAATGGCATCGATTATTGTACACTATAATGAAATTAAAGGACTTGTTAAAAAAAAAAAAAAAAAAACTCCTTCTGTTGGCCTCAGCCTGTGTATTTCCATCAACACCGAGGAGTAACAAACTAAACAATGCTGTTGGTATTGCATTTGTCTTAAAAGTACTACAGGGAGGTGAATCAAAAGCATTGAAAATACAATAACAGAGGGCAGGAAACTGCAGGCGATGAGATTGCCTTGTTCTCCCTCCTTGTCGATTTACAGTCTATACCAGCTTGTTCCCCTCAGTCATAGCGGCAATGGATTGGCAACCGGCATGGCTAAACCAATTCAACAAATACATTCCATCTACTGATAGAATCAATTTGTGTGAGATCAAGTTTGAAGCATCATTCCAAATTATTTCTGACTCTTTGCTGGCTGCAAAAACGTATAAAACAACTTTTCAAAATATATTTCCATAGATAAGCCACTCCATTCTGATGTGTCAGTTCTGATATGGACCATTTCTCTCTGTTTGCAGGCCGGCCTCAGCAACTGAGCCAGACTCACAATAACTATGATGAATGCATTGTCCACAGGAACAAACCAGCCATTTGACATTTCATCCCGCTTGATGCATTAGCTGCTAATATCCCGTGGATCTGAGTCGCTGTGACTGGACTCTGCTGAGCCCTACCCAGCACATTGGTGGATGCAATCATCATGGAATTGAAGAGGTCTTACTTCAAATGCATTTATTAGTGGAAACTGGCTTTGGGGGATCAGATCATTACATTACATTGCATTTAGCTGACGCTTTTATCCAAAGTGACTTACAATAAGTGCATTCGACCAAGAAGATACAAACTTGAAGAAAACAGAATCATATAAGTACATCAGGTTTCATAGAGACAACACATTTCAAGTGCTACTCAACTGGCTTTAGATAAGCCAGTCCTTTATTAGTATATAAGTGCTTTGTTAGTAATTCTATCGCTCGAAGTGGAGTCGAAAGAGATGAGTTTTCAATCTGCGCCAGAAGATGTGTAGGCTTTCTGCTGTCTTGATGTCAATGGGGAGCTCATTCCACCATTTTGGAGCCAGGATAGCAAACCGACGTGTTTTTGCTGATGGGAACTTGGGTCCCCCTCGCAGTGCGGGTGCAGCGAGCCCTTTGGCTATCTGAGATTGTCTCCAACTCAAATTGCACTGAGGACAGTTAAAGGAGACTGGGTCATGGCATGAGTGGTTCCCTTCCTTTGATTGCAAGTCCGAAATGTGTTTTCATCTAGGCTAGAAAATGTGGTTTTGCAAAATTTAAAAACAACTGGTATCGGCTGGGACTCCTGTATGTAGCCCGGAGTAGGCAGCTGGTGTAACTGATGAATAAGAGATGGAACTGGTGCTATGGATTGAAAGGAATCACACGCAGGCCTACATCCACAAAGAAATATATTAATATCACTTGAGAGGGAAAATAGCAGTTCAAAGGAGGAAAAGCAAGAGGGACCATGAAGATCTCTGATCTTTAGCAGCTGCCTGATGGGATTTTTTTAATCAAAGATCGTTTAAAAAAACAAAAAATAGGAGAGAGAGAGAGAGAGAGAGAGAGAGAGAGAGAGAGAGAGAGAGAGAGAGAGAGAGAGAGAGAGAGAGAGAGAGAGAGAGAGAGAGAGAGGGGTTTCTTCAAATGAGCCGTTTTTAATTTGGGGTGAGATGAATAAACTGCCAGCCATCTGTGAAGTTAATCCTGATTCAAAGCATCAAAATGATTTTCTGATGATGTGTTTACAGGGTGTGGGAGAAGTCATCTGAGAGAAGATATTTATACACAGACAAAACTAATTTGTGAATGTGACTGACACTGACACCAAGCAATTTATTTGGGATAATAATGAAATAGGCCTTAAATTACCTCATGTTGTTCTACCACATTGTCCAGGATCAATGATTTGGTGTCCAGGATCAATGATTTGGTTTCCAGGTGTGAGGAAAGTCTGGTAACCCCACTCTGTCTCCGGGGATCTTCCGGCCAGCCCTGCCCGCTCGACTGCAGCTGTCGGCGGCCACAAGTCTCCCGGGAGTCCGGCTCTGTCCGTCCCGGACGCGAGGAACCGCTCCACGGAGGACGGTCACACAGCGGGACAGACTTTGCTGTTCCCAAACAACGTAGGTCTGGCGTGTAATATCGATGTATCATGATAAATGTGTAAAATTACAATTGCATGAAAATGGTGACTAATCACTGGAGCGAATACACGGAGTTAAAGGGTACAAACATTTCACCAACTTCTGCTCCATGCGGTTTGCCCTGCGACCTCCGTTTCCCATAGTTACGACAAATGAAGCTCAGCCCACAAGGAAGTAAACGTTACAATGTGGCCAAAAGTAGGCTATGTGGACACTGCATTTTTAAAGCCCTATATCCACCTAAGTGTTGCACAAAAATGAAGCTAGACATTTGGTGTTAAATTAAGGTTGGTGTTCTACTGAACAGCTTACTATAATGTGACTGAAACCACTTAGGCCTATGTGGGATTCTAACATGTGAACGAAAAGCTGACTAGTAAGGCAGCCAAGTGGACCGGATAGCTTTATTTGAGCTGTTTCCAATGACACACTTGACATTTCTATGGCAAAATATTGTTTTTATTGCCTACCACAAAAGTCTAAATTTCAGATTCAGGCCTTTTCTATATTTTGAACCAATTTAGTTCAAAATATAGTAAAAAGAAATGCATTGGCATGGCAGTATAAAGCAACAATTTCCAGCATGTTATAATCGACACAAACATGACACCCCGTCAAATGAAGAGCGAGGTGATAATTATTATATCATCAACAATGAGTTTATTTGAGTTAGAATCCTTTTTTTTCACAGCAGAGTTTACTTTATCACTGCAGGAAAAGCAATTTATAACATTTATGATGTCTGTGTTCCATTAAGAGTCTTAGTAAGCCTCCCCAATAAGACAGTAGGCAAGACCCTGAGAAGGCCTACAGGACACACCTATATGGATTGCTTTTAATGTGATTAATTGTCTGTGTTATTTTCTACCATCAAAAGCCTAATTAAGGCCATAGTGAAAAAGCACAGGTGTTACTAATGAGATTAACCATGGCTCTGTTCTCGTCAAGTTTCCAAGTAAGCCAATATGTGACAGTAAACCAGCACGCACAATACGGACCCCAAAACTGAGTGTCATACATTTTCCTTATATTTGTAGAGATTATAGATGCTATCATGCTACTAACCCTCCATTGTGAATTTATTGATACTGACTGAAGTGAGCCAAAGCTTTTTTGATAACTGGCTTTGTCAAAATCCCAGCTCTATGTGAGACTTCATGCAATCAATCCAAATTAATTAATCAAGATAATGTTGCAAAATCAATAATTAATTTCCTCTCAGTCTATTAATCTAACTTTTCATGCTCCATCTGTTCAGTAACATTTTAGTCCATGCAGCACTTAGATGAACCTTGAACACTCTCAACCTGCTAATTTGGAAAATACACTCTAATCACCTTATCAACAATATTAGGTATATACACAGACCAAGAACAAAATGGGTGATGGAAAACAGGATAGACAGTAGGTCCAGAGTCTATATCTTACGGCTATATTCTGGTACAGTGCATCAAATGGTGACATTTATGTATACAGGAAGTAAATGACATAATGAAAAATCAGTTGCCTGACCGACAACATTTGTATACATTTAGAAGAAGTTTACCCTACATTTCTGTCTTCTACTTATTTAATTTGGCCAAATGAAGCTCAGCGCAAGTTCTTTCAGGAAGACTGGTATATACATTCACTCCGCAGCTGCATATAATCAGCTCATCACGGGCGTCGTCTATAACCTATTACATTCACCTCATTCTCCAGCAGCCAATCACTGTGCTGCAGCCAAACTTTAAAATGGTTCTCCTCTCTCCTGCAGTCAGCTGTGATTTCAGGTTGTCATGCTGCCGCCCGCCTCCTCCCCATCCACCTCCTTTCATCGTATCCAGTGTCAGGAGAGCTAATCCAAAGACCTCATCACACCTCCTCTTCATCCCATCTCCTCATCAAATCCAGATCTTCAGCATCATCACCAGTGTCTAGACCCCGGGGGGTTCCCTATATGCTCACGGCTGCATTTCCCCTTTTAGATATACGATTTCAGGATCGGGGTCTAATCGCCAAAGACTTAACATTTATCATATGACATGTGTCAATAAATGTTCTTAAACAAAATGAAGTCTCTCCTGATTGAACTATGGTTGAGATATATTTGAGAAAAAAAACTAAATATTTCCGAATAGTCTGTTAATGGTGTACAATAATCCCACACAAAAAGTTTTACACTCAAAATATTGTATTAGTCTTTTTGAGGAGTAGCATGAACATCTTGGTGCACCGTGGGCATTATGTGCCTTTTAATGTGAACAGGATGGAAGTCTCTATTGATCGTTGCAACAGAGGGACCCATTTTTCAGGCGACTCCAGCAGCTGCATCAGGAGCAGCAGCAGCAGCGAAGCCCAATTTAACCTCTTAGAGCATATCCTACAGACAGAATCTGTGGGTGAAGCATCACACAAAGTGTCAGAAACATCTGTTCAATCTGTTTGGTGCTCCAGTGTACAATACGCCAAGATCTCAGGGTACACAGCTCTAAAAATGAAACAGTGACAAGTCTGTCACACTTGATAAAAGAGGGGACAATAATAATCCCGTTGAAACTGCAGAGCATAAGAAAAATGGAGTGAAAGGGAGCTTTGTAAACTCAATACACACGCATGCTACAGAAATGTTTTTGAATAACAGTAAAAAGACAATTTGGGGTCCCCTCAGAATCCACCATCTCATGCTCCAGACAACCCAATGCCAGCTTGAGTCCTTTCAGGGGTGAAACACGGGCAAGATAAACTCTCACCGGTTCATGACAGCACTGAGGAGTTCACTGGGATGTGAGAAGAACTGTCTTCAGGCAACAGATGCAACAGACACACAAACTTGCCTCCAGCCAACTGCTCGCTATTTGCCATGGCTCCCTTAAAAGTTATAAATACAACTAATTAGTCTGCCGCCTTTTTCAGGCCAGCAAGAGGTAACGGCCTCCCCTCCACACCCATCACCCCATGCCCACACACCCTTCTCATGGGATCGGAATGAGTGCTTAATAAGTGCTAAAACAGACAGGAGCAGTATATATAACGGCCCTCAGAGATTTCTCCATCTCACCACCCTTAGCTTTCCTTTATCATTCTTTCTCTCATTAAGGAGTTTTTAATTGCTGAAATTTCAACAAGTCAACGGGGAGAGTCAAAGGGCTGGCATTTTTTTTTTACAATCTCAATAGATTTTGTCCCATTTAATATTTAGAAAATGAGCCAACAAGCTAAAACAGAGCTGTCAAACGAGGAGTCCAACAGGGGAGTGTGTTGGTATCCCCTGAGAAAATGGTGGCAGTCCAGCAGGCTTTTCAATCAGGATCTTGGCCTGCCACCGTTCCTGGAGCCAGGGGACCCTCGGTGGAGGGATGTGGACCGGCTCCAGAGGAGTCTGGCAGCCTGCTCCTGGCCAGGGTACATTCCCCCTCCGCTGTTTGTGCCATACATCTCTGCGTCGATGCATCACTCCGGCCAGAAGATTAGTGAGGAGCAGTACAAGTGGAGGGTCAACCTGGAAGTGGCTCACTTCTTTCCCTCAGACATTTTTGTCAGCGTCAGCGACGGATTCCTGGAGGTCAGAGGTACGTTAAACAAACCTGTTATTTAAACAGCTCTATAGGTTCACTCAGCAGTGTTATTCACTTTTACACACAGGATTGTTTCTGCTCATAATAAAGTAAAACCAAAACAAATCTATCTAATATTATCTCTAAGACTAACTGTTATCTAAATAGACTCAAGGTTCACAGGATAAACCCCTTAAAACTAAAGACTAATGGAAAGGAAGCTGACTGTAACAAAATTAGAAAGCTGCTTGAATAATGTGCTCGGGGAAATCAAAGCTCTGTGGCAGAAATTAATTTGTATGTTGAGTGGTTTCTCTGTGTGGCTTGATTCCTATGTGTGTCTTCCCCATAAATGGTAATCCATCCCCAGGGAAACACGAGGAGAGGCCAGATGAGCATGGATTTATTGCCAGATGTTTTACAAGGAAATACAGGTACTGTATGCAAAGTAAACACCGTTGTTAACCTGTTGACAATTATGTACCCACAGTTAAGCCTTTTCCAATCCCTAAAATGCTCACTGGAATAAAACATGATATTACGTACATCAATTTGACTATTTAAATACTGGCACTTTTATGTAGATATATTGTTAACAGGATCCTGTCTTTGTTCAGGCTCCCCGAAGACCTTGATGCAACCAAAATCGTCTCCACTCTTTCTGCTGATGGTATCCTGACTGTAGTAGCACCGGTTTCCGAGAACTCAATTCCTGCTGCCATCATCATAAAGGTGATACAAACTACGGTGTTTATTTAAATATGAAGAAATAGTTCATTAGTGACATTTTGAAGTGATGGAAGGAGATTTTAGTCATCATTTGAAGGAGCCAGGCTGGTCATTTCTCCTTGTTTCTAATATGTATGCTAAGCTAAGCAAATGTGCTGCTGGCTGTAGTCTTAGTCACTTTACCAGACACAAAAAACACTGTTGTCAACCTTTTGCATCCAATGCTTAGCAAAAAAACACATTAAAAAAATGTACCATTGCTTTGAAGGTTGCCTGTCATAAAACCCATTCACATACACCTGAAATCAATTTTTGAACCTGAAAATGAGCATGATGATCAATGTTGTTTCAATATCCCTCTTGAGTTTCAACTTATGCATTGGCAGTGAGGAAATGGGCACAGTCGAGCAACATTTTCCAAATATGTATGTACAATACAGGTGGAGGTGGAGGCGACTGGAGAGGAACAGGAGAAAGAAGAAGCCCCTGATACAGACCCAGGTAGCTGCAGAGCCCCAGAGGCCCCATGTCTGCCGTCTGCAGAGGATGACGGGGAAGAGTCTCCACTAGAGGTCCATGGAGATCAGACCCACACTGGCAGCACCACAGCTGGGCTTGAAGAGAAGAGGGACCAGGAGGAGGAGACCCTTGAAAAGCCAGCTGGAGAGTCCCACCCATCAGCGCCTGTAGATGGCGAAGGCACAGAGAATTTCCAAGTGTCTTCTGAGCACAATGAAGCCCAGGAAATCCTAGAAATTCCAGACACAGAACACCAAGAACCAGCAGTGGATGGAGAGATACAGCCAGGCTCAGGGGAGACTACTGATGAGATCACCCACCCTGAGGAGCAAGAGCTAGGCAAGAGTCCACCGAATGATGCCCCAAGCCAAGAGTTGGAGGTCCCCGACATAAAACAAGAAAACTGAGTACAAACACAAGTTTTCCCCAAATGTTGCACCAACATACAGAAACAGCCTGCACTGCTTACCTTGCACCAGTTCAGATGCATTTTAGATACAATATATTATAGCCATATATAACCATGCTTCCATTGGAGCTCCAATAAAGCAATAGCATGTGAAAATGTTAGAAACTGTGTTGGCGTCACTCATTATTTATACATGAATTTACTTCCTCTTAATCTTGAAATGATCATGTGAATTTGCAACCGTTCATGAATAAGTGATCACATTCATAGCCACCTCTGGATAAACGTGGGTGCTAAAATGGAAAAAGTGATTCATTATCATGCTGTTTCAGCTAAGAGGTTTTGACATTAATCAGATACTATACATTAGCACAGCTGTGCATTAGTCACTTCTACACGAGTAACTTGCCCAATCATGCTGTTGCCACAGCAGCACAAGTGTGTGCATTATCGAATACCATCAAATACAGCAGTTAAAGTGAGCTCATGACACAAAAGAAGCGCAGTAGTGCCGACAAAACAGGGGAGGCCCTTTGGTTTTTTTTCAATTCAAAAACTTTTCAAACTGATCATCCCCTCCTGATTCCAATACACTGAAAAGATTACAAAATATTGCATCACATGACACATGCATAGCAACTGCCCCAATTGTTTTGTACTTGCATAAAAGGCTCTGGCGGTGCTGCTTCTGTGCGTTCGGCCCATTCTGCAAACACCAGTGCCAATCTCAGCCCGCACTAAGCCCTTCGCTAATCTGCTGCCCAATTCCTTCTGTTATCCAACAATAACACCACAGGCTCCCATGGTGTCAGGCCAGTGAGTGGCATGATTCTCAATAAAAGACACAGATGTTATAACACGCTGGGAGATTGGCTGGACAGTTTTATTGCGTCAGCCGATATAAAGACATGGACAGAGAAGAAGGCAGGAAACAAACGTCTTTGGCAAACAAGGGAGTCTGTCCGCTCCAACAATCATGCAGCCATCTTCCTGAATGCTCAAATAGAAAAGAAAAAAAATGCAAACCATATTGCAAAAACCTGGAACACTTTAGATTCATATTTATAATGAATTGGCACATGTTGAAGTATATTTACAATACTCTTTGGTAGAATACAGTATGAATGCACACAATTCACACTTTAATGAAGCCACAAAAGGTAGCTTGCTTTCGTTTCTTGTCAGTTTAAGTGACATTCATTAACTCAAAAAATAAACAACTGTAAAGTCAAGGCACTCCAGTAAATAAAGGCACATTAGTTTCAGACCAACAAAATCACATATAATACGTTTGATGCAAAGATAATAATAATTATAAATACAAATTTGATACACATACAGTGTTATATTGACTTACTGGTAAGGGAGAATTCTTTGGCTTATAATGTATAAGTGGCCCAGCTGATATTTCATGACCTCGGGATATAGCCATATATAATATTAAAGCTGCACAAGACAAGTTCACACTATGGCTCCATAAGCTGTTTGAACATTTGTGATCTTTAAAATGTGTCCAAAACGTTGTATGAGAATGTTCTTTGTTTCCGTCTTCAATCACAGAGTTTCATTTTTGTTATCCTTATGGTCACGTAAAGTTTCACTTTACAGTTATTTTAACTGAAACCACAATCTTTTCCATAACCTGGCCATAAAGTTGTGTTGCCTAACGTTACGTCTCAGTCAGTTTTACAACATGATACACTTTCTTGGCTTTTACAACAGTAGATCTGGATTGTCTTAGCTGATGCATTACAGTAACAACCGCTGATGTAATCAGAAGATATCTTTCAAAATCGTGCACCAAAATCTTGCACCGTGGCAAATCTATAGCATCTCTGCCAGTAGGGGGAGGCGACTCTTCACTACTCTGCTTGCATATATAACATTTTTGTCTTGTGCAGCTTTAATAAAGACATACAACAGGTCATAACTATTTACCTTACATACCTTCCCATTGGAATTTTAACAACAGGAAGCTATAGGTCACATATTTCATTTCATTCATCAATTGCGCAGGATGATTTGATAGGATAGTGAGGAGTTGGGGGTTTAGACCATGGGGGCCTCTTGGGGCTTGAGTGCCTCCACCTCCTGGTCCTCTTCACCCTGGGAGCCCTCGTTGCTGAAGAGGTAATATGGAGGCGTCTGCCGAGCTTCGATGATGAGGACGCCCTCGGGGGACAATGAGGCGAGAACGGTCAGAGGGTCCACATCTATTGGGATCCTGGTAAATCAGAGGAGAAGAGAAGTGAGAAAGTCTGTATGAGGGCTTTTTAATCTGTAAGCTTCTGTGTGTATTCAGCGGGTTAAAAAACACCAATTGGAAGAACAAAAAAAGGGAGAGTGATTAGGAGAAACTGTTCACTTCCTGCTTGGAAGTCATGCAAAACTCGGAAGTTGTCCTTCACTAATGCAGGGTCCTGTCTGGCCAATTTCTAGGCCTTCATTACTGGTGCTTTCTCAAGAACTGCTCATCCAAACAGGTTCAGACTCAATAATGCACTTCCCTTGATCCTCAACAATACACCCTCCAAGTATGAAGTAAATCACATGAACGGTTGTCAAGAAAAAAAAAGGACAGCCATACTGTACATACAACCAGACTCCTTCCATTTTAGTCAGATAAGACTTGCTGTGCAAACATTGTTAAATGCTGCAATTTATTATGGACACTTTGTAAAAACCATTAAAACGCCCACAGTCTTAGCACCGTATGCCTGGGAAAAGAAAAAAAAGGAGGCTTGGGATTTTGACGGTTATTAAAAAACGTTCACCCTGTCCTCTTTGGCTAGCACTCACTCCAGACTCGCACAAACTAGCTCACACCCAGGGGATGAGCTAAAAGAGAGGATCTGAGTCTGAGGTAAAAAATTATCTTGATTCCAATTAATGAGAGGGTCTGTCTGCAGAAGTTCAACACCTGTAAATTTGTATCGGTGTATACTTGCCTAATCTGATGCTCTCATCTGTCACATAGGCAACAGCTAATTTTGTGTCTGGCATTTTTTTCTCGCCTCTTCGCTTCACTTTTTGACACCTCTCATGCTGAAAATGTTACATTTGCCAGAGAAGAGCGAGATAATTGCCTTCCAAATCTTGCAGGAAGATATAAGGTGATGGAAAATCAGCCAAGCTGCAGTATGTAAGAGATAACTTCTCACATGAAGCGCATCTAAAACGGTATATGACAAAGTTATTTAACAAGGTTACATTATCAAATTGATTTGTTTTAGAGATTGAGTTCATTTCAGTTTAACTTTCAAAATAATACACTTCACTTTGGAATGAGAGTCATCAAAAACCTGCTGTAAAGACAAACACAGACATCAAGGCTAACTCTGTTCTTTGACAGTGTGGCCAAATATGGGTATTGTAGGTTTTCTGTGTGAGCAGCCAAGTGTCTCTGGGAGTTAATATAAACATCAGGCTGCCCTGCTCAGACATGAGACTGTGGGTTTAATTAGAGAGGACCCTCCACTGGCTTCCCACTCCACTGAGAAATACAAGTCAGAAGGGAAACGTCACCACACAGAAGCAGAGGTCACATCAGGTCTATTCCTGTAGAGGAACCAGCATTTAATTGAGCTCAGTCTGTTACCATATAGCTATACCTGCACAAGACCTTAGCTGTAATGTGTATATACCACAATAACAGACATGTATTTCATATAATTGGGAACCAGGAAGTTTTAAGAGCAACAACGTCTGAAAAATGGGGAATAAACTTTTAGAAAGATATCATACAAATTAACCTAAAAGGTGATGAGCTTTACAGGTCCACTACAGCATCAACCTCCACACAGACCGAACCCCCCCTTTTAAAACTAAGGAGCACAATAAAAAAAATTGTATTCAATCTGGAACAGAGAAAACAAATAGAGACACCCTTGGGATATAATACGAGCCATAGTTGGGTCAAAAGGCAATTACAAAAAAATAAAGAGAACATTTTAGAAATAATAGAAACAGTGAAATATAGTAAATCCAATTTAAATAGAACAAGACCAATACAATACACATACAAAGAGATAAGTTGCATGAAGTAGTTCCCTGAAAATGTCTTCACATCGCTCCAGGAAAGGGGGGGTTATGCGAATGTTGGGTTTGGTCGAGAGTAAGTAAAAATTACATCATCGAGGATGTGAGGGAGGAAGATAGAGGTGGCCCAGAGATTTGAAGAGAAACAATAATTTACAGTTTATCTAAACTAGAATAATATATGTACTAGACACAAGCATAAAAATAATCTTCTAATCTGAATTTGTTCAACTACAGCTAATGGTGCATCTCATTGTAGGTATACTATATGTCATGTTCACCCTAATTTAGCATGCTTAAATTAGCTAATTATCACTTAAAACAAAGTGAGGCTGAGGGGATTTTGTGATAACAACAACATTGAAATATTTCCTTCTGAACGGCTGGTGGCTTTATAGAGAAAATGTATGTACAGTCGTAATTTATATTTTTTGGGGAAAAACACCATCTTTTGTGCCAATTTATCCAATAGCTGTTGTGGCATTTTACCAAAAAAACACCAATGTTGGAGTCATCCATATTCACCCTCTGAGGACTATGAATGTCAGTACATATATTCATAGCAAAACATCCGTTAGGTGTTGAGATGTTACAGTCTAGACCCAAGTGATGAACCAACCAACTATTATTGCCATACATAGAGTCATGACACTACCATGGCTAATAATATAATATATACTGTTCATTTATTAAGGAAAACATTAACCAAGGAGCCGATTGCTGTGAAGCAGTTGCCCCTCCTGACAAAGTCAAATCACTCAGCTGACGCATTACGTGGGACTCTGGCAAAAACCTTATCTGTCCAGCTTCGTGGACTTTATTTACAGTCCAGCACATCATTTATCTCACACATTGATTTTGTACAGCTGCCAACACACTGTTCAATATGCTTTTCCCCTGCAGAGATGCTGAGACAGGGACATGGTTAGTGTGTTCACTGACTGTGTAAAACATGTTCCATTTGTTCCTGACCTTTCTATAGACCTTTACCCTCAGAACTCAACAACAACCTATTTGATTAATAACTGACATATTTCAGGTTTAACAGAGGAAAACACCCTTTGACCCTGTTCAGCTGTTTACTGTCCATCTCAGTCTATCAATGACTTCTTTAAAGGGCCCCATTATGCTTTTAGGGCTTTTGTCTTTCCTGTAATGTGTTATATAGGTTTTTGTGCATGTAAAAGGTCTGCAAAGACTAAAATCCTAAAGTTCCCTCTCAAAGGAGTTTCTCTCCCACACACTCCCCCTTGTCTGAAAACGCCTTGATCTAAATCCTTTGTTTACTTCTGTAGCATAATGACATCACTATGTAAAATGTCTCTTCTTTTGGCTAGTTTTCAACACATTGTACATAATAGGGCAGAGACATCTCTAAGCCAATCACAACAGAGCCGGCCAGCTAACCAATCAGAGCAGACTGGGCAATGGTCTCAGACAGAGGGTGAAAAGAGGTGCTGCAACACAGGCAGTATGAGACAAATAAAGACCTTTTTGAACCTTAAAGCATGGACACATGTCACAGTAGAGGCGCAACATACAACTAGAAAATGCATTTCCTGCTGAAAATGTGTGTGAATGCTGTAAACTGTGTACATTTGTTGCTGAATTTAGCTGAAAATGCAGAAATAGCTGAATATTGTATTAGTTGAATGGTCTCTGTAGCTGCTTTAGCTACAAAAACCAAGTAAGTGTGTTGCTGAACTTAGCGGAGAAATGCAGAAAAGTGAAATTATTTGAATCAAAATTGTTAAAGCTAAAATGCATTGCAATGACTTTGTGGAAAACTTGAAAGTGAAATGTGAAACTGGAAGAGTAGGAAAAATAGTGAAGAAGCTTAATATTTAAAAGAAAAGGTTTACAATAGGTATAAACAACAAAATGTATAGCCTCAATGTCCTGAAATAGCTGAATAATTTAATAGTTGAATGGTTTCTGTAGCTGAGAGTAGGCTGAAGGAGTTAGATATCAAATGTAAGTAGTAGTGAATGAATGTGTATTAAGAAGAGAAAAGAAAGCAAAAACGCTTTGAAAAGCATCAGTTTATTTGAACTGCAAACTTTTGAACTAAAACCATACGTCAACAATAATGTATAAAATATGTGGAACGTGTTGAAGTCAGTATGAAGTCTCCATCAGACAGAAAATAATAGGCTGAGACAGTCTTTAAACTCCAGTCTGTGTGTTTGTGTTTGAGCCCAGAGATCAAAGGTTACCATGGTGACGACGATATCAAACACCTGTGTGCAGAGATCAAAGGTTACCATGGTGACAACGTTATCAAACACCTGTGTGTGAGCCCAGAGATCAAAGGTTACCATGGTGATGTGAAGTGATCTGTGAGAGGAGAGCCTTTCCATTGTTCTGAATGAGAGCTAAACCTCTTACATTTCTAACTATAGTTTAAAAACAGTAGCTGGTATCGGTAAAATGTCAACGCGTGCAGCATGTCATGACTCTGAGTCTGCTTTTTGTGTACTTTCAGGTCAATAATGTGGCATTTTTGGCAGATTTACTAAAGGTGTGCAGCTGCTGCTCAGAATTTACAATGGGACATGCTGAAAGTTGTTTCATTTCAACTTCATGCCCTCAAGAGGCATTTTGCTTAATTCTTTTTTATTTTTCAACCTAAGAGAGGTTAAGAGAGACATTTAAGGCGAATTTCAAGCTCTCCTCCACTCTAGCTGTGACATCACGCACTCTAAGCCTTAACAAGCAGCGCAATAGAGTGCCACAGTGACGCGTCCTAAAACCCGGAAGTAAACTTCTTCCGGTTCCTTCGACAAAAACCAATGCATTTTCTCCATAGGATTTTGGAAAATAGCTCGAAATAAGGTCTGTGGTTGACACAAATTGAAGAGACAGATCACGTTTTGTTCAGCCGGATAATATCCACATGTTTACCCTACTTTTATAACTTTCTATCAATTAGATTTATGATTCGAAAATTATAAAAGTAGGGTAACGGAAGTGGTAAAATTCTAACTTACTTCCGGGTTTTAGGACGCGTCACTGTGGCACTCTATACACACTAATGTTAAAATCTGAAGAAGGCCTCTTTACCAAGCTTCAAACTAAGTTAAATATCTCAAAAAGTGTAAAGGATATCAGAAATCTGAATACAATTTTAATAGCTGAAGGTCTTGTGATCATTTTAAAGTTGGAATGAAGTCTCTAGCTGAAAGTATGTGGAAGGAGTAGCATTTGGTGCACGGTGTAGGTAAAAGAGGATTTGAAGGTTCCTCCCATTGAGTTACATGTTAAAAAAAGAGTTTAAAAAGTTGAATATTTCAAAAAGTAAAACATATTATGAAAAAGTTGAAAGTTTCCCCTTCATGTGCTGAAAAGGCTGAATATTCTGATATTTGAATGGTTTCTGTAGCTGAAAGTATGCTGACGTTATTGAGAGCCAAACTATTTGGTTGAAATAAGAAGAAGAAGATGAAGTGTTGCACAGCATTCGCACTAATTATGAAACCTGAAAATGAGCATAATATGGCCCCTTTAAATAAACTTTTTGGAAGTTTCTACTCTTTCTTTAATATGCCTTCTCCCTTGTTATTGGAGCATTAACTTTGCATTTATTTATAACCGTTATACAATCATTGGGGGGAAATAACGTTAAAAGTAAAAATTACTCAACTATTAAATCAATCACCAACTTGGGTTTTTTAAGTCAGTTTGAGTATTTGTTAAATAATTACATTACATTTCATTTAGCTGACGCTTTTATCCAAAGCGACTTACAATAAGTGCATTCGACCAAGAAGATACAAACTTGAAGAAAACAGAATCATATAAGTACATCAGGTTTCATAGAGCCAAACTATTTCAAGTGCTACTCAATAGGCTTTAGATAACCCAGTCCTTTGTTAGTATACAAGTGCTTTGTTAATACGTAAGTGCTTAGTTAGTATATAAGTGCTTAGTTATTATAAGTGCTTAGTTAGTATATAAGTGCTTAGTTAGTATATAAGTGCTTAGTTATTATATAAGTGCTTAGTTAGTATATAAGTGCTTAGTTAGTATATAAGTGCTTAGTTAGTTTCTACGTTTATTTTATTTTTTTCATTTTATTGCTCGAGGTGGAGTCGAAATTACAGCTCCTGAAATGTAAATACTTGCTAGTTACTGTACTACTCTATGAACTTAATATCTTTGAGTTGTGGACAAATCAAGACATTCAAAGACAAAATCTTACACTTGAAACACTGGTTGATACTTTACACACTTTTCTGACATTTTATAGACCAATTAAAATTGCTTAATCAAAAATAATTGGTGGTTTCAGCCCTGACTTACAGTACGTTTAATTGTGAGGTACATAAATATTTCCATTGAATGCTTCCTTATATTTATACTACTAATTTTGCATTTGAACTCCACTGAATACAAGTAATGTCTGCCATTAATCTTAACAAAAGAAACAGAATGAGCTAGTGCTTCAATTAAAAGTACATTCCCAGTCATACTAACTTGTACTGTGACTCTCCTGTGCTATCTCCCTCTTTCATATACATAGAGGATTTGGGTATCGAGGTCAGTTATTTATATATAAGCCCCCCCCCTCACCCTCCCCCTCCACCAGCAGTCATTGGTTTTAGGTTGTGCTTAGCTGAGGAGCACAGGCCTGATCTGAAAGGCTTTCCAATTAAAAGCATTGTGATATGAACACTGCGCGGCTAGCACAACCGCTTACTAATTAGCTAACGGGAAATTAGCAGATCCGGAGTGACGCGCCAGCGAGACGCCGATGCACCCCAGCGATTAGCTCTGCTGTTTGAAGTCTTCTGCTGCCCAATTACAGGCGGAGAGCCGGCAGGTTGAGGAAACTTCTATGGCCTGTTTGGCTTGGATGACTAACAATATGAAAAGTCGACAATGTGCGAGACGTTGGTGCAGGTCTGCTCGAATCAACAATACTTTTCCTCTAAGTAAATGCTTCAGTATTCTAGAGTTAGTGAGTGTTGTTTGGAGTTTAGGATTCTTTTTTTCAAGGAGAGTTTGTTGTCAACTCAATGCTGGTTTAACTTTGGAGCAGCTGTTTTGGGGCTGTGGACTGATTTGACTTTTAAGTTCTTAATAAACAGCAATGATAATAGCACGATGTTGTCATGTTGTTGAAAGGGGAAATGCATCGCCGTATGTCCATGTATTAACTCTTCTATTTAAAGTTTAGTACACAATACAAAGTCCTGACCTTTGTTCCAGGTTAGCTTCTGATCAACTAGCGGTAAGGTAGCAGTATTTACGCTAATGTTACCATACAATGCAGTATAATAAGTACCCTTTCCTTTATGTTCTTGTGGTAAGGTTAAGGCCACGTTTACACAGAGACGAAACGGGTTGTTTCACCATAGAGAGTATCCTGACTGGCTGCTTCACGGCCTGGTACGGCAGCTGCACCGCCCTCAATCGTAAGGCTTTACAGAGGGTGGTGAAAACTGCACAGAACATCACCAGGACGGAGTTGAGGACCTTTGCTCCCAGCGCCTGGGTAGATCTGCGGACGAAACGCTCTGGGGGGCCAAATGGCTCCGTGTGTACGTCCTATACGATCATTTCCTGATAACGATGACCCCATAGCCCCGCCTCTCCCCACCTCTGCTGCTCACCCCCGCGTCATTGCTGATGTGTTTTGCCAACAACAACAACAATGGCGGATCACAGGGTTGCTTTCGTGCTCCAGATGCTACTGACCATGATACAGATGTCAGTAAAATCTACAGCTCCTCTACCACAACCATCAGCAACAAGTGGACATGGAGAACTACATGAACTACATGTTGCTAAATCCACCACGGAGAATAAACAGAAGGGCAACCAGGCAACCATGGCAACCATGCTCGGGGGGTCTTCTTCGCTGCTTTCGGTGTATTTTGTGGCGGAAGTACAGCGCCACTTACAGGTACTACAGCGTCTCCAGCGGGTCGAGCTGTCTCTTGTGGACGGACACGTTTCTTGAGCCGATTCTGTGTGGACGGAAGACTTTTTTGATATCGACATCGGTTCGTTTTCGTCTCCGTGTAAATGTGGCCTAAAATACATATAACTTTTCATAACACAACAAAAGTAACTACAATGGTTCTGAACATAAGGAGGAAAGAAAGAAAAAAGTGACAGAGAAGACTAGATATGTTTCTCTGAAAAAATTCAAATCAGCATGAAAAGAGTATAACAAATGACTAATCCACCCAGGAAATATTATTCCTTATTATTTGGACTAAAACAAAAAAGACAGATTAGTCAGCTAATCGTAACATGTATGTGCCTGCGGTTCAGATTTGACTTTTTTTACGTTTTAATTATTAATTAATACCTAGTTCAGAATTCAGGCAGCTTACCACTAGCTCAGTGTAATTAACCCTTGTCCTTTACCACCGGGGGTAGAAACCACAACTGTACTGCATTCATAACAACTTTTTGGCATAAATGTAACAACACTTCCACACATATAATATCTTGAATATGTGGTGAGATTATACTCACTGTATCTTCTTTGTGAAATTCTTTGTCACTATGCCTCCTTCTTCCTGCTTCTCTTCATGTTTTCCTGTTAGTAAAGAAAAAAATAACATCAGCAGATGGGACCTTGGGACAGTTTTTGTTCTTACTTTGTTCCCAGAATTTCTGCAGGCAGCTCAAACAGAAGCTGTGGTTGCAGCTCAGAGTAACTTTAAATAACCTCAGATATGATTAAGCTCAGTATTGTGCAATAGTTTGAACATTTCATGGATCCTAAACAAGTTATCATCAGTTCAAAACCACATCATGTACATGTAATGGCTCTTTAATCCTCTAAATATAGCAAAAAGCTACAGAATGGATTTATATTCAAAAGGTTATGGTGACACTGACATTAAAAAACATGTTGCATTTGGCACACACAGTTTCCCGTTGCTCAACCACAGCAGTGTTTTCACTTTGGGGCCTCTGGGAGGGTTGCAATGGGAACATGTTGAAATGATGAACCAAACTTTTCAGTCACTCCCAAGTATGATCCACCTGCAGAAAGACACGTAGGGCATGTTTTTCCGAAGTTGGGGAGACAAGCTAAGGCTGGAAATCCCCCCCTCCCTCCACCCTTTTCTTCCTGGCTCTGTTTATGGCCGCTCCATCTCTCTGGCTGGTTAGCAGCTGCTGTGGGGCTGCTAAATATCCCTGCTCCCGCCAACAGTATAGCCTGCACCCCCCCCCCCGTCAGCCACAGTCTGCACTCCAGGCCCGACTATGTGCTACCCTATACCCCCACTGTGACGTCTCCGCCTGCAGAAAGTGCTGGAAAGATCGAGGGGCTGGAATGAAACTCCAGATGAAACTGTGCCTACATCACCGGTGAAGTCATAGCAGGATTATTTAAACTCCACCAACATTTAAAACTGGTCCCATTTCATGAATAATGGAGGTTTGGTCAGATAGTAATCCTACAGGGAGCTGCCTCTCCTTGTTAATAAGTCTCTTACGACAGAGATGCCAAATTCCAGATGCTCTATGTAATGCTCCTGAATATGAATGTTCCGACAGGAGAGATCTTAGCATCATGTACAACGCACTAAAAGTTATTTTCTATCTGTACAAGTGTCAAGGACAGGGCTGTGGTTTTCACATTTGCAGATGAAGCTGATACTTTGTGTCACAGAGGATTGCATATGCTGTGTGTCCTTTTGTACATGTAGCAAGCGCTAAGTCCACAGAATCACTAATTGTACTTCGCTGGTTTTTATTTACTTTTAAAGCTTCACTTATCCATATCTTTATAATAATAATAATAATGTGTCAAGGTGTTGCACATTGTGAAGAACCCACAAAGACTTTTTAGTGTCCTTCAAAAGAAACATATTGCTTTTTAATGTCCAAACATTTACTATTTTGATTCCCTCTCGTCTCACTTTTTTCTGTCGCCCGTGGCAGCTTATTCTTTTGGGAGGAAAAACTACTTGCCTTAAAACTGGCATACTCAAAACAATTCTCTGCAGTTGTCTCTGCAACAGTAAATGTCTCCAGGAGCACATTTTGCCAGTGAAAACCATAAGAAAATTTAAAAAATAGGCCATCAACACTGCTTTAAAAAGGACCAGTGTGTGGGATTTAGTAGCATCTAAGGTTGAGGTTGTAGTTTCCAACCAACAAAAACAACCCTCCGTCATTTACAAGCATGTTAGGAGCTACGTCAACCTTCAGGTATAGTAAGTACGCAACAAGACCCTCTCTAAAGTTCAGTTTGTCTATTTTGGGCTACTGTAGAAACATGGTTGTGCAACCAGAAAGACTCCAGGAAGAGGACGTGCTCTAAATGTAGAGATGAAAGGCTAATTTTAAGCTAACAAAAACACACCCATTCAATAGCGTCCAGTGATTATACAATAATGTAGATATATTTATGAATACATTTTTAATTTCTGCCAATAAATCCCTGCTGGTTTAAGAGTAGTGCTGGGATATTAAACAGATTGGATAGATTGTAGTTCAGTATGCTTCTGTTGCTCAAGAACAAGCACCATAAAAGCACCATTTGTGACATTAATATTGTAGTAACAACACAATTTGTAGGTTTTTTCAAACTTTCCTTGTATCTGTTAAAGTTAAATTCTGAAGGATAAGAATAATGTTAAAATCCTCAGTAAGATTATAATTAAACTGGTACTTCCAGTGACTGTCACCAGGCAGACAATTGCTCTTGGACCCACTGGGGTGGACTAAAAGCATCCGATGAGTACACTTAGTTCATCTGGAGGAGTCCGTGTTCAACATTTGTTCGTACAGCTCGTACACCTCCGACATGCTTTTATCAAACTCCCTGTCACACTTTTAGAACGGGGTTGAGTCACTGGGGCTGATTGAATAACCCAACTGGCATACCAACAATGTGTTTATAAAAAACTCAGAGTTGGGGGGCCTGCTGTCCTCTGTGCCCTCCTCAGCCCCTGGGTATCCCTGGAATCCATCCCTCGTTTGAATCACCGACATGAGGAAGCAAATTCTGAAACCCTTACTTCTAACCCTTACTCCCATAATCAATGGGAGTGAGCCTGAACATGACACCAGCAGAACACAAGGACTGCTGGGTAAAATCCTATTTCCAGAACATTCTCTCTCTCTCTCTCTTGGCATGTCTTATTGTAAACAGAGACTGTTGTCACGGGCCTTGCCTCAAATCTAAATCGAGCTCATGGGCGACTGAGGGAGTGATTCTCCAGGAATCTGAAACAGGTGTCCAAGTTTGAGGATCTGCCTGCCAACGTGCGAGTCCCAGTCCCCAAAATCTGTTCAGCTCGTCCACATCAAGACTCATTAAAGCTGAGCCCACCGAAGCTTTCATTGTGTGGCTTTAGATCTGTTTTCAAAGGTAAAGCGCACAGCCAGGTTAGAGTGAGGATCCTGAGAGATGCAATTCTGCCTTTTGATTGGGTTGTACTTCTGCTTTTTGATCAGCTAACCACATTTGTGCATGTGTTTTGAGTGTGATTTTCATGTTCATATGGCTAACAGGATGGTAGTCTTAGCTGTATAAGAAAAACACTGGATTACCTGGGGAAGGTTTATAGATTTTTTATAGACAGGCCAAATTCCCTCAAATGAAATCCCAGTACTCTGTGGGATAATAATAAAACTACAGTCATTTAGATATTGAGAGTTTAGCAACTGCAAAATTCACCTTTAATAAAACGGTGTGTAATTTATACCATTAGCAATACTGAGGGCATGACCTCAATGTCCTCAATGGCAGCTACAGCCCTGCATTTATTTTCACAAGCAGATGATACTATTTGTCTAATTGTTTTGGTTTGTATTCTATTAGTTGTGTTTTTTTGTGCACTATGCCTGACATTAAACCTGTAACTTCCATTTTGATTATGTATCTTGCCAGTTAAATCCACATTTTAAGAATATTTGCACATCATTTGTTGTGTTTAAATGTGCTCTAAGTATAAATTGTTGTTTGGGGAAATTGGGAAGTTAATAGGAGGGTAATTACATTTTTCTTCCCTTACAGGCATTCTTCCCCAATGAACCTGCTTTTAAAGTAACGTATCCTCCTGAAAAAGTAGTTGTATTTACTTCAGGCCTGTGCAACAACTCACCTGACACTTCTACAAAACCGTCTCTCGTTTTGACGTTTAATTCCTCTGGTTTGAAGCTGTGGACGTTCACGCAAACTTTCCAGGGTTCCCCCCCGGTGGTGGTGGGGGAGCTCTGGGAGGAAGGCTCGCCGTACATGCTGGTGTACAGCGTGGGGCCTCCCGTGGACTGGCGCGAGGGGAAACCTGTACGTAAAGTGGTGCTGAAGGGCGAGGAACTGAGGCGCGTGCCGAGCCGGCCCGGCCGAGCCCAACCCGGCCAGTCCATGGACAGATCTTCGGGGAAAGCGGGCATCCCAAAGTCTTCCTCCATAAACCGAGACCCCAGTTGATCCCTGAACGGAGACTCTCCAAACGGATCCCTGGGAAACCTCTGCCGGTTTCCCATCGTGTAGAAGTCTCCCTCTGCCATGTTAGTCCAGCCGAGTTAAAAACCAGTTAAAGGTCTGCCAAAAAACACCGAATACAAACTTTTCTTTTAAGATAAAAATTAATAAAAACAACAATGTGTGGTAAACTGTATCGCTCTTTGGGTTTTGCGCATCACCGTTACGCAACAAGTCACCAGATTCAACAACAAACTGTTAAAGTGTGCTCTGCCTCTCCTAAAGCCCTCCTGGCTGTGGGTTTTATACTGGACGGTGATCACACAGACCATGAGTCGACACAGTGCAAGTGTCGGGAAAGTGCTGGGAGGATCTGGAAAGCGGCCACACTGCAAAAGATATCCTGAAGAGAAGTTAAACCGAGTCTTTATATATTCAAAATAAAGATGATTTGGTCAAATCATAAGCATATTATACTTTAGATCAACTGTTCCAGCTGTTTGTAAGGGTAAATACAAGTGGTTTAGTAATAGATTAGGTATAAATACTTACTGCTTTGGATATTTCTTGCAGTGCAGGCGCAACAGCTGACCAGAGAGCAGCCACCCCCTTCTCCAAATTAAGTTACTGTCCAGATGTCACTCAGACAGAGTTCCTCCTATTGGTGACTCACTTGCTTTTTAATAGAAGATAACGCAGAGCTTCAGGTCAACACACTGATGTCACAGTACGGATAAAACAAAATAGCTAAGAGAAGTCAACTTTGTGAAGGAGGCTTGTGTTTACTGGGGGCAAATAAGTGTGATTTAGGAGCATAACACATTTTATTCAGAACATGATTTTATAGAGCTTATTCTAAACACGCAGTGAAAGGGAAAGTTGATTTCCTGGGGACAATTCAATTTCCAGGTGTTATTACAGTGCGGAGTTCCCACTGACACAAGATAAAACGTGACAGTACGAACAACATCATTTTGCAATACGCTCTTTCATATGGAAAACAAGGGGGTTATGCATAATTCAACACTAAAACACTGGATCACTATTGCTATGACCTTGTTATTGGGATTTTTTTTAAATAACATGACATGATCAGAAGGGTCTTTAGCACAGACACATCTAGAGTCCATGGATTGTGCCAGACGGGAATATTGTCTTCTGTTCCTCGACCACTGCTCAATGCATCATATCTATACCAACATTTTAACATCCAACAAGGCCTGAATAACATTCTGTCAATCAATTATAACATCTTTATACAACGTAGATGCATATTTACACCACAGTAATCACATAGGCTATACAAAATTATCTTGCACGAGAACCGATTTCAAACTTTACATTGTGAGATAGGGAGAGGCCCGCGCTGGGGCCTGGGAGCCCATGTAGTTTATCAACGCGACTGCACAAATCTTCCACCGGCACTTCGTCAACGCTGGTTGACACGAGTCGTCATCACTTTATGGTTTATGAATGACTTTTGTGGCAAGTCCCTTCGTCTTCCAGCATCATAATTCCCTCATTCGTCCAATTTAGTTGACATTCAGGGAAATAAGCTGGGAGTATTGAGTGCATAGAGAGCAGTCTGTGAGGCCTGGAGCAGTTACACAGACACAATGATGGATTTGAAATAAGCCAGAATAATGAGTATCTTAATTATATGCAAAGGCAGTCTCAAACTTCCTTTGTAGATTCAAACTCAGTGAAAGCAGCTTCAAAATGTACTTCAAAGAAATACCTTTCAACTTTTCTAAAATAATTTGCTTTCTTGCCGAGTTAAATGTAATGCAAATATCAAGTTATGATGAGCAGCCAGTTAGCTTAGCTTAGCATAAAGACTGGAAACAATGGACAAATAGTTGTCTTCTTATGTCACAAGTTAAACAACTCTAGGAGGTTAAACAGGATGTATTTCCCTCTTTAATATCTATTTTTTAATTGCTTGAGAAAAATCTTTAACTGTGATCCAAGTTTCACGCAAAAAAAACAAAAACATTTTTAAAATATCACTTTGAATGCATCATGATAACATTGGAATTCACATTCATCCATTCTTTATTTTACTTAATAGATTTGGCTGTTAGCTCCTTTTTTTAGCCAAGCCAGACAGTGACCTTGGGTCCCATGAAAGGCGCTATACTGTCCTTTACTTTATTTTTTTATTTTAAACCTTTTATGCTCTTAACCTTTTATTTGTATTTTTTATATTACCATATTTTATTCAATATGCTCCTTAGATATCTTTTTATTTTATTTGTTTTATTATTTTCTCCAGCTTTGTGAAGCACCTTGAGATGACGTTGTTTTTAAAGTGTGCTATATAAATCAAATGTATTATTATTATTATTATATAAATGTAAGCTATTATTATTATTATTATTAGTGCTGCCCGCCAGCTGCTAACAGCTAATTAGCTTAGCTCTTCTCCAGACCTTTCCAACAAGGATTAGTTGTTCAAAGTAGCATTAGCAGGAAAAAAGGTGCATCCCTGTATAAACACACCTTGTCAAATGCAGTTAAATTAGTGTGCTTGGAGGTGCTCTCAGGCAGATCTTATCTTAGCTGTTTTTCCTTGGGCAGTCTCTATGCTACGCTAAGCTAAGTTAGCCAGCTGCAGGCTGTAGCTTCATATTCAGCAGACTAAAAATGATAGCGGGATTCATCTTTTCATTACAGTTTTGGCAAGAGAGCAATTAAATATGAAAACTTAAAACACAAAGTTAGAACTATTTCCTGCTATTTCAGTTTCTGCTCCTCAGTCTCAACAAGACTATCTTCTGCTTTGAGGTGTATGTTTGAGTAAAGTGGCAAAATCCACAATAATTTTCAACCAACCAAAAATAAATTACAGCAGTGTCATAACTACAAATCGACAGTGTTGCATAGAAAGATTTGCCACTACTGGCAGGGACAACTAACCAATACATATGAAATAAGTAATAAATAAAGATGGTGGTGCACAATAAAAGAAACTTGACCTTCCTTTGTCATATAACTTAAGATAAAAACAGTGTTGATTTATGTGTTTTGTTCCAGTGTTGTAACAAAAAAAACAATATTCAAGTAAATTGAGAATAAATGCCATCATAAGTTAATTATTATAGTATAGTCCAATATATTCACCTTTAAAGTATTCATATTCTTTCAAAACAAATGCCTCCTCTGACACTTGAAGAATTGTTCAAAATAAATATGTGTTCCTGTTGCAGCACAATGTTTCAATCGCTCTCTGTGGTATTACATGGACTGACATTTCAATTGTGTTCCACTTGATCAGAGGATAAATTAATTTGACATTTGAGCTGACAGGCAGTTTGCTCGCCGTCAGGCCACCCTCGCTGTGTCATTTTTCACAGGAAACGCGTTTGTTCTCCACCTTTTGAAGTGCAAAGATCAGAGCAATAAACCTTTCCTTATTTCCGACGACTATTCCTCTGAAACACTCAGATCAAACAGCTCGAAAGTTCACTTCTCTGCACAAAAGTCTACAACATTCAGTATTGTGCCACCAAACAAATGTTTATCAAGTAAATTCAACCCTTGTTGGTACCTTCAGGCCTTAATATGCCCCGTTTTAAAAAAGAAATATTAAACATTTTAAAGCATATATTTTAAAGAATAATGCAGTGCTTGAACATTAAAATAAAAAACAACATTGTGTGTTGACCAAATACATAAACACGGTTTCTGTGTTATGTGCAGTTTCTATTGTTAAGTATTTAATAGATGAACAGTCTCAGGCCATTGTGAGTGCTAATCCAGGAGAATGCAGTACTGGAACAAAACAAACGGACAAAAAGACATTCAGTCTCCTTCCTCAGTAAAAGACGGGGTGGGACCCCTGTGGGGACATTTCCACTCAAGTGTTGAAGCGCAGCACAGAGACGCACACAGTCAGTTAATCCAACCCAGTGTCCTCTCTGAAATAGAAACAAGAATGGTGCTTTGCTTCCTTAACTTGCTCTTAAAATCTTAATGCCTTGTTTTGTTGCGTTTGTGTAACGAACAGCGACTCCGACTCCGGCTGCGACTCCCAAAGATGGAGTTCCAGGATGAACTGCGGCTGTAGCTCCTGTAAGAGGAGTAACTGTGTCTCCGGCTCCGGCTCCTGCTCCTGCTGAGGCTGAGTATCGGACTGCGGCTGCGGCTGCGGGTGAAGAGGCTGCTCCAGGACGACACGCTGGTGGACCGACTGCTTGAAGAAGGACTGGGGCGGAAATAAGGGATGGGCCGCTTCCTGGCACTGCGGAGAGACATAAAGGTAAGTGGTGTGGAACGGACAGAAAGGATTTAAGCAACAATGTGTAGATTTTATCACAGATTAAAGGGGCATTGACCATTGTTTTCATGTAAATAACGTGTCAAATGAGCTTTACAGAGCTGTTACAAGCAGCAACCTCCGGGTATACAAATTAAGCCAACTGCAGTTCCTCAAATTACTTCAAAAGCGAGTCAACCCCCATGTAAATTGGTCCTAAACCTTTTACCAGATAGTTGCTGCATATAGAAAACTTTATTTTAGCTGAAATTCAAAACCTCCTTTACAAGCATGTCGTGTTAGTAAAACCAAAAAGTCAGATGATAGATGCCAAAATGCTCTGTAGAGCTGAGGAACTGCAAAGTCAGGTGACAATTCTTCACTATGAGCCACTATTTTTACACCATTTGGCCTATAGGTAATATACAAAGCTGTTAACAGTACAGGTATAGATTGGTGGAGAAATAACTGTATAAAATACTTTAGTTTAATCATCCTGTGTCGTGCTTTTGTGCATATTTCTGGGTTTATATCATTTGTTGCACTCATACAGGACTATGAAATAAAGTGTGTGGCAGACAAGATCTGTTAAAAATAAAGCAGTGATTATCACACTTGCTTGTTTTGTTTTTTTACTTCTCAGATTGCCTGTGTTCCACCATCTGCTGCTTTAGCACCTGCCGTGGCTTTAGAGCTGACACTTATCTCCTCCTCTGGCTAAATGCCATTTCAAGGTAACACAGCTCATCAACACGATTAGAAATATTTCAGTTCAGAGACGTGAGGGGGCGAAGGAGGGGACCTGCAGTAGATATTTGCTACCTTTAGGCATAACAATGTATATTGTAGCTTTAAATAACCCGACTTGGAAAGCCTTACCTTGTGATCCGGCGTGCTTCCAGATGGCTCGGTGAGTCTCTTCTCCTCTTCTTCATAGGAGAGTAGGATTTGCGTCTTTGTCTCTTCCCACTAACCTTTTGTGCATGCTTCACATCTGCATCTCTGGAGCTATGAGTTCTCTTTCTTTCTCGTAATCTGGGAAGCAGACATGACAATGAGAAACATGGATAACCAACAATGTTTATGTTTATTTGTTCCTGTACACCCCGAATGAGGAGTCATTGGCAGCCGGGAGGTTTTGCAATGTTTACCTGTCAGCACTGTATCTGGAGTGGCTTCCTCTGGAGCTCAGGCTGGCCACGCTGCCTCGCCGCCTCAGATCAGCTGAATGACTCGGGGAGCGCGAGTATGAGCTGGCAAAGAAAAAAGGACAATTATCTCTTGGTATTGAGCATAGATGCAGAAGTAACGATTCCATAACCTCATTTCCTTTATTCCTGAAATGTCAGCATCAAACAATGTTATATTGCTATTTACAAAAGGCTGTTTCCCAAAGTAAGTCTATGGGATAAATCATGTTTAGGGTAAATGGTATCACATGATGATGTGGAAGTTGGAATTACACCGTTTGTTAAATTGGCTTTACAGAATGGTACTGTTCCAGACGGATTGATAGCACACGCTCACAGTGACAATGCTAGTGTCATTTTAGTATGCTAACATAACATATTAGCACTTAACATAAAGCAACAGTTCTTGGTTTTGCAGGTAAAATAAAGTATTGGATGGATTGATTATTTATTTACATACCTTCATTGAATAGTGTTAGTGAATAAAGGCATGAGCGTGGGAAATGACATGCAGCAAGCAGTCAGGACAGGCAAATAATTTACCTTGGAACTCACTAGCTGCTCAGGACATGTGGTTAACCCCCTGACCTAAAGTTTTTTCAGTCATCCAGAGTAAATCTCCAACCCCAAATGTGAACCTCATGGTGTTATTACAGGAGGTCACTGAATCACCAAAGCCAAGAGTAAATGTCTGTGATGTATCTTTTGCCAATTAATCAGGTAGATGTTGAGACATTTTCAGGATAAGCAACAACTTTGACCTGCAGGTGGCACTCGGAAAATGGATCACCAAAGCCATAAGGGTTTTTTCTTTTGGCAACACAGACACCCGTACCACATTTCATGGCAATTCATTTGAACAGTTGTTGAGATATTTCCGCCTGGACCTACTGTGGTCTCCTACATTTTCACTTTTTGATGTGCTAATTGAAGTACATACGAGTGGAAATGTCCTTATTAACTTTGGAATTAGTGGATGATGGTCATTTACAACGAGTAGTTAACCCACCTGCATGATGACCGTGACAGGCTTCGGGAATAGCGTCCGGAATATCTGGAACTTCCTGAGGATCTGCTCCTACTCCTGCTGCTGGATAATCGGGCCTTCAGTCGCCTTCGAGACGACTTCCTCGCCCTTCGAGAGCAGTGGGAGGTCTTTGGAGATCTCACAACATCTACCCGGCACCCCAAGGTTATTTGCTCTCTGCGAAGAAAACAAGTTTCACTACTTTAAAAGACAAAAAACAAAACTGTATCTTGGGTTCTTTTTAATAAAAGCTCTTCCTTTTTCTGACTCGAGATTGACTATTTTCAAAATAGGGAAACAGAGTGTGAAGATCAACAACCTGCAGTTTTCCTGGTAAGTATTCATTCAGATGCTATATTTATTAAGAACTTTACCTCTTGCCGTTTCCACTGAAAAGCGTTGCAGACAAGCTGTCCTCTCTGTAAGGTTTGCACAGGGAAGCGTAGCTTGTCACAGAGTTTCCTGAATCAGAGGCATTGTCTCTGTCAGTGAACTTCAGCTTCTCTGGCGAGGCCAGGCGTTTACAGTGGTTCCTCTTGTTGTCAGTGACAATCGCCTGAAAAACACCAGTTTTGCTTGACGGAGGCGAAGACGTGTCATTCCCAGAATCGTAATCGTGTGGAGCTTTGGTCTGGCCCGATAAATGCTGAGACTCTTTTCCGTGTAAAAGCTCGTTTCCAGGTTTTGGTGACAAAATCTGCAAACAGACAAATAAGCTGCAGTTTAAAACCAAACGAGTTGATAAATGGAACCTGCTATCTGCTTTGATGCACTGTGAATACTCTACTACAAAGGCACATATTCCCCTTGAAAACAAAGAGAAGGGATTTCTTTTTTCCTCAGGACAGAACATTTTAAAAGATAAAGACATCATGCAAATTTGAAGCATGCGATTAACCCCAAAAGAAAGTCTGAAATGAACTATAAACAAATAAATCAAAAAGAAACTAATTGAGATAAAGTAAGTCTAATCTAAAACAATTATATGAAAGGAACAACAAAAGAGCAGAGACTAGAGAGAAAACTATGCGTGGAAAGATCTACCGGTTCTAACTCGAGTGAAGAGAAAAAGAGTAAACAATAGCCCCCTTGAAAAGCCTCATTTAAGAACTTTGAACAAACATCACAAAATGGGTATTATGTATAAATGAAAAGGATTTGCAGACAAAGAGAGATCCCATCATTCTAACTAAGAAAGCCCTCAGAATGGGACAGATGACTGTGCTCTTTCTCCTGTAAGAAGTAAATCATTTGCCTGCAGCGACCTACAAGTAAATCCCTAAATCTGCGGATAGCATCGACTTACCAATCAAGATTTCCTCCTTAAGTAGGTAAGGTGTAAGAAAAAGGGAAGAGCGGGCAACATAAGTGCATCATTAGAGTCGTCAATTGCAAGAAAAAGACAATAACCCTCTCTTCAAACCCAGAGCCAGTTAGACCTATATTGGTATATTCCTTTTTCTCTCCTTAATGGTGCATTGTTATGGAGTTTTTCTGAGAGCGTACTTTTAAAGTACAACTGCACAAAGCAGCTATTAAAGTTTTTGACTGCAGACGTCCATGCACGGGAAAAATATAGTGTCTCTCCAAGGATCATAGCTGACTAATAAAATGATGATCTCTGTTTATTTATTGATAAGGAGTCACTCTTTCTTTATCTAGTCTGTCCTCCCGAAGGTGTTCCATTATCTAGTCTAAAGTCAATACAACAGAGGAACCCCTGAGGGAAATAAACAAATCTTAGTTCCTCTACAATCCTGTCTACCTCTCGCATCGTTCTCGCTCACAGAAAGACATTTATTAAACAGAGACATCTTTTACCGTCACCTGGAGATATTTGTTGTGATAAGTTGCCTTCAAATAAACATTTCAAATGGTTCTTGTGAGCTTTCAATTTTGTTTTTGTCTTTTTTATTCTCCCACCACAAAATCATTTCATTAGTTACATTTACAGGGTTAGAGGGTTTTCTGGGGGTTATTCTGTCCGGTCATACCTACCTGTCCCTTTCTGGATTGCTTTTTGGGGGAAAGAAATATTAAACAAAGATCATTCGGCATTGCTTTTGAAATTACATTTACCAAACCAAACCCCCAAAACAAATGCAAATACCACAGAGTTATTGCAATACAGTAAGGCGTCCCCTCAGCAACCAACTGTGAATTCCTCCTAAAAGACTTTGGGATATTGAATGCCAGGCATGATTCAATATATGGATTAATTTATTGTATTTCAATGAAAACCCTGTGGTGTGTAATTAAAAACATTATGTGCAATTAGCATAATTTAATGATTGCTGGAGAGAAATTACATATATTTCACACTCCGTAAGCACGGGACAATGAGTTTAAGGACAAAGCTGTACAGCTTTTATAAGGCTCTATGGGAGAACATCACTTAAAAGAAAAAAGATAATCAACCTGTAATAAACAGCACATTTGGAAAATGCTGTCGTCTCAACGCTGTGATTCACAGTTGAGTCGTGGATATATATAAAACATATTTTGATGTGTATGTACAGTAAATCCTCAGTCCAGAAAGAAAGCTAGTATGCAAGTATTTAGACATCAAACACAAAATACTCTCCGTCTAAACCAGAAGTGTTTACCGGTAATTAGATCAAAATAAAAAAGTAAATAAAACAATGATTTTTTTACCTGATTTTTGTTGTTGCTTAAGAACATACTAATAATTCAAAAAATCATGTGATCATTCTGTGACTTATTTTCCCTTCAGCCCAGTCTCCCTTACAATTATTCTGACATGAATTAAGTAGGTACAATTGAATCCAATGCCAGCGCTGTGTGTGTGTGTGTGTGTGTGTGGAGGAAGCAGAAGTGACTAATCCCATGTTGAACTTTTGATGACCCAAGACAATAAACATGTGCTTCCTTTCTCCTTCTTGCATGAAAACAGTTTTTTAAAATCTAATTTGTGTTCCTTATACACAACAAATGCTTCACTTCCTGTGCAGCTATACTCAATTTAGCTGTGTTCCTAGCAGTACCCCGCAGATCTAACTACAGACACATCTTAATATAAAGTACTGGCTTTTTTACATCCAGTATACTGTGGGTCAACTCAAAATCTAGTCAACAGTTAAAGCTGACACACAGTATTATCCTCACCTTGACCAACACAACTTGCAACACAGTCCTAAAACAATTATTGAAAAATATTGGCACTGAATATTCTTTGACATCACTGAACACATTTTTCTAAATGAAATTCATAGTAATAGCTCCGAAAATTGAGTATTTTTTTCTTGGTGTTGGTTTTCATTTGAATCCAGAACTTTATTTATAGAAGGGAAAATAAGGATTAAAAAACACTGTATTCACATTGCCTCAATACAAAGAATGTGTCCTTTTCCCAGCAGTATCATTATAGTTATGGAGAGGTCTATACTGTATTAGGTTTTAGAAAACAAGAACTGACAAAATAACTGTACAAATAAATAATTAATAAAAGATCAGTCAGGCCATGAATATTTTTTGGGAATATTGTTCCTTTAAAGCAGCTGAGTTTCAAAATATAATTTCTTCTTTTAAATGAGGATTTTCCAAACCCAACTGCCTCTCTGTAGGCATTTCATTTTGACTGAGAATGAGCTGTTTCACATGGCCATAACTGAGATATGGAATCGACCCAGCAGCGTTAGAGGTCTGAAGTGTACTTACGGTGGCGGTGGAGAGGATGGAGCGATATTTTGGAGCCGTTTTACACACTGATTTGGTGGCGGGTCTCCACTTCAGGTCGGTATGGTCAAGCATTCCGTTGTTTTCCTCTACTACAGCTGCCAGGTCTCCTAATGTGTGATGAACAACAGATCTCTGCAGGTAGTGTCTGTGGGAAAATGCTTAGTTTAAGTTACATAGCATCGTGACATTAATACTTCAAATCACTTACAGCTAATTCTGCACTCAAGAGAATGTCTTCTCGAGCCTTTTTCTACCTAGGAAAATAGCTGAAATTATTTTTAATTTTCTTTATAATAATGTATTTTAAAGCCAAATCATTATTTATTTAAATGTCCATGTTTTTTTTCTCTAAACCCAATAAAATCATAATAATAATAATATTTGTGTAATAAAAAGCTATAAACATATTTAATATAATTAAATGTAATTGTTCTTTTGAAAATCAAACCTCAATTTAAGTTCAAACGGAAGTGAGTCTTACAGATTAACAGGTCAAAGTTCACTTATTGAAGTGTTCATAAAGATGGCGCTAAGTGGCGCTCTGATGCTAAGTGCAATGTTCTGCATTCAGTGTTGATCAATGATTATTTAAAAAGCAATTATCACCAGGGTCAACTTCTTCCTCTAGAGATCCTTACGTGTCCACCCTTTTCAGTAAAATCCATAAAAACTGTGAAAAACAACATCCTTCATCTTTCAAGATTTTTGCAATATGTCATTATAATGGAGTGCATTGATCTGTGGAGGGAATATGGGGCCACTTCCTGTGAAGTTCTGATAAGGGCCGGTCGTGCCTGAGATCAGGAAGTCACCTCTGCCTTATCAGTCATCGCTCTGGTGTGACCAGGAAACCGGCAGACACCCGGAGCTGATAAGATAAACTGAGGGAGTAAAGGGGGGTGAAGAGGGGGAGGGACAGCTTCCTACCTGTCCTCTGCGGACGATCGGTAAGAAGAACTGTCCGACTCTGACCTCCGATAGCGTCGCCTCCGCCGAGTCCGTGAACTGAGGAGGTGATGAGGAGAGAAGACACCAGTGGATAAGGAGCTCAGAGTACTACAAGCAATCAATCCACAGGAAGTACTTGACTACTTTTATAATCAGCTTATCAGTTTATTTGATTTACCAAGTATTGACTCCTTCTATTTGTTCTATACCAATGGAAATGGCTTACGTTTGCATCTTTGTACATATTGCACATACTGTATACCCTTTATGTTGTGTAATAAAGGAAGACGTGCTCCGCTATGTCTTCAGCCTCCACCTTTTACCTTCTTATACCATTATGATATACTAAATTAAGTGGTGAGAACAGGGAACAAAACATCGCTATCACAAAGTGAGACATTTAAAGAAACACAAGCAGTCAAACGATCAGCCTATCAATGAACAACAGTTAGTTATCTAAACCAATGGATTAACCTTTTTCAAGTCAGGCACTTCAATTCAGGTACATTGGATCAAAGGCCTGTTTATTTAAAAATGTTGCTTCAGGGACCGTCATCTGAAAAGATTTGGTTATTGGATCATAAAAAGCACTGGATTCTATGGTTCTTTACTTAAGTTGAGGAGATAAGTTCAACAAGTGAAACCTATGTTAAAAATAGTCACTGTTATGGGTATTAGTTACATAAGGCTCAATTCTATAGAGAATTGATTAGTATAAAATACCCTTTCTCTAGGGACCATTGGAACTATCTGAATGCCCTCTTGGGGTCCACTGACATTGCAGAAAACTCTGAAATAAACCACTTAAAACTCAAAGGTCTGTAATAATGGCTGCACAGGTAGGCTGTGTGTTTGTGTGCAACTGCACAAAGTCGGCAGGCCAATGAAGAACAAGGAAAATTGTCCATTAACTATTTAGGACATTTACACCTGACAATTCTACTGCTAGGACCGTGTTGGCCTAGGGTTAGAGGCTCCATCAACATACCCCAGCCTGATATCTGGCCCAGGAACTTTGATTTGTGATATTCTCCATCTTAGTCTCCCCGCATATCTTGCAAGTAACATTAAATTACATTGTAGATCCTGTTTGACAACATATGTGTAACCCTAACCCTCCCCATTGGGCATCTTTTTCTTGGCATTAGCGCTGCTTCACCAAATGTCAGCAACTAACTTACTGACTTTCTTTAAAAGTAATTCAAATAGGTCAGGGGTTGTGCTTACTGATGTTTTACCTCCCCGTTGAAAAAACAATCGACCAATCAGAGCACAGCAAGAAGGGTTAGGAATGTGGATGGCATCTTGCTCACTGGCTATACCCTGTAGCATATGTAAAATGACTGGCATATGCAAAATGTTTGAATCTTGTTTTTTCTGATGCATATGAGCAGGAAAAATAGGAGAGCACATCAGAGAAAGTGAAAGTATAAAGAAACAGCGAAGGCATGAAGAGCATAAAAGAGGCGAGAGTTGAAGTGAGCTGGAAAAGGAATGGATTATGTTGAAGTAAGAAGCAACTGAACTTGGCTCTGTGCACTGCTTACAAACAACGGCGCGCTCATCCAAAGTCGAATTATAAGATGTTGCAAGATCACAGTATGAAATTGGTTTCTCTTACCCTCTTTCACCCCTTTTTAACTCCCTTTGTGGCTCAAGCATTCAATCGCTTTTTCCTCTTCTACGAGGGCTTTTTCACGCTTTGCTCAGAGAAATAAACGCCTGCGAGTTTGTGTATTCACCCTTCGTGTCCCTACATGTGAGGATGCTTTCTCTTTCTTCCTCAGCAATGGCTGTTCTGAAAAGGGTGGATGGGCGGCCAGTGTATGTTTTGGTCATTGGATTTTCTTTTCACAAATGGATATTCAAAAACAAAAAACGACTGGATATTTAATTTTCGTTTTAAAATTGAAAAACCAAAATTGAAATACAAGGTGTTTTTCTTTATCATGGTCAAAAAGTGATTTACTAAACTTAAAAAACGAGATGATTATAATTTTCTACTTCTCCAAACAAAAAATAAAATCACTAGAGAACAGAAACAAAAAAACTACAGTTTTTTCATATTCTGCTACCGGAAGTTACCTTACAAAATAAGAGCGCAGATGAGGTCAGAATCCGTGTATCTACGGTCCATTTGTTTTTCTTTATTAAACAAGTAAACGGTAGAGCGTCTGCGAGGCGTTTTTGCTTTTTGCTAAATAATAAAAAAAATAAATAAATAAAAATGTTTTGCGAGATCTCGCAAAACCTTTGCGAGATCTCGCAAAACCCCGTTGCAGTTTGTAGACGGTCCCTAAGCACTCCTCTCCCTCCTCCAGCTGCAGATTGTGACCAATTCTTGAAGTTTAGCTCGGATGACGATGCGTATCGAACTGTTCTGATAAAAACGACTCTGTCGCTCGTTGTCTACCTTGCTATGATTGTAAAGTCATGTTGTTTGTATTTTCACAACGTTATGTTCATGAGTTATTGATCCATGAAATTCGAATCTGTCAATAACTCAGCTCAGGGTATGCTTTGTGACGTGCATGTCCCCTCGCTCTGAGTGTTCTCTTGAGGTGTCTTTCACTTATGTGAAACCTGTGCCTATTGCCAAGCACTGATGTTATATCTTTATATTTAAGGCCAAGCTCAAAGTAAAATCGATGAACCGCTCCATTGTTGTGGTTTCTGTGTTGCCGAACTGACCAGGAAGTACATTGAGCTAAATGAAAAGTATTGCGAGATCTCGTAAAGGGGTTTTGCGAGATATCGCAAAAACATTATTATTATTTTTTTTTTTTCAAATAATTTAGTTTTTCTTCTCCATGTCCCCTAGGGGGCTCCGTAAAATGGTCCTTGGAGCGAGGGGCGGGGCGAAACTCACGGAAGTGATTTCAAAACAAAAGCACTCGTTTGCTTGGAACGGTGATAAATTATTATAAACAAGGGGAATTTAGCGATCACAACGAAAACGGCCAAGACACATATTGAGCTCAGAAAATGGATGTTATTAAGGGCTGTAAATATAATAAGCCTATGTCTAAAATGGACAACATTGTTAGGAGATTTAAACTATAGGCCTACAGCGATTCTGCACTGCGGTCAAGTCAGCCGTCCCTCGCGTTTGTTTTTCCAAATCAGCTGCTCTTCATTTTTCCTGCTATATTTGACGAGTGATACAAATATTTTTTACCTCAAGTTCTTAAGAACACTGACACTGTTGGACTTGGTACTAGTTTGACTTCTACCAGAAATAAAATGAAGTACTTTTACTGTGTACTTTGTGAGTAATCCTCTGTCAAAGTCCCCTCCATAGTAGGCTACATAATGCATGTTTTTCTGCTATCTTTGATGAATGATAAAAATACAATTTTTACATTAGTTCTTAATGAAATTGATACTGTTGGACTTTGTATTAGTAAGCCTCAAGGTTCAAGGTTCTTTATTGTCAAACTGACATAGCTACAGAGTAATTATGTAGTTGAAAATCTTATGTCACAGGCTTCTCCAACAATGCAACATAATGACATAATAACAATAAGAGCAAGAGCAATACAAAAAGAAAAATAGTTATAAAATAAAGTGATGATGTGGAATAGTGCAGTACGAGTCTATATACAAGTTATTGGAATGATATATATATATTAGGTATTAGATACATATTACTGAGTAGCAGATGAATGTTTTGAAGTTGTTTCAACAGTTCAATTTTTTAACAGTCTCAACTCAATGATTTGACTAACCGCTCAAAGCACTTCATTATGGTGGAGGTGAGTGATACTGGGCGGTAGTCGTTGGGGCAGGTGATGATTGTCTTTTTTGGGACAGGAACGATAGTGGAATGTTTGAAGCATGTGGGGACTACAGACTGCAACAGGGACCTGTTGAAGATGTCTGTGAACACCTCTGCCAGCTGAACTGCACACACCCTGAGAACACGGCCAGGGATGCCATCAGGTCCAGGAGCCTTGTGTGGGTTAACCCTTTTAAAGGATTTACACACATCTGCCCTATTTAAAACAAAAGGGCAGGGCTCCTGGTCCCTCTGTACCTCCACAGCCCGGCTGCTCTCAAAGCGTGCAAAAAAACTGTTCAGCTCATCTGGGAGAGATGCGCACGCAGACACTCCCGCAGCACCCCCCGCCTACTACTAACAATACATTGAAGTACTTTTACTGTGTATTTTTTGAGAAATACTCTGTCAAAGTCACCTGCTGATAACAAAATCAAGCCACTTCGGCTAAGTTTGATGAGGGAATTCTTTTTTGTTGCCATTAGTTCTTCGTGAGATTGATCCCGTTGGACTCAGTACTAGTGAAACTACCCCCACAAGTACTATGAAGTACTTACTGTGTACTTTTCCAGTAATCCTCTGTCAATGTCCCCTCCTGAGTACAAGAATGCATGTTTCTCTGCTATTTTTAATAAGCGTTAAAACACCTTTCTTCATGATACTTATATTGTTGGACAGAGTATTTTAAGAGGATGGTAGACATAATATCAGCAATACTTCCAGTCAGTACTCCGGCAGCAGCATTTTTACCCCTTTGAAAGTATTTAGAGTCTGGCCTGGATAGCTGGTCACAAATATCCTTCAGCAAAGTGACACACTCTGTCACTCTTGTTGGCCTCTTATGATGCTGCTGTCTTTTAATATAGGATTATTTCTCAGCCGCTAGTTCGTTCCTCGCCGATTCTTCAGTCTCATCAGCCTCATCCTTCCATCAGTCCCAGTCAACGCATCAGCCTCCAGCACACTTCCAGTGTCTGACTCCATATGATATTGTCCTGATGCTGTAAGGGTGATGCCCAAGCCCCCAGGAAGTGCGCCGGACTCTGAGGAAAATATTTGTTGTGGCCAAACGGCGGTACTACACTTCCGTATCAGTCGCTGGGCCGGAAAGACTTTTTCTCATTGACTAACATTGGGAAAGAGACGTCTTTAAATCGTTGGATAATTTTTTTTAAACTAAATAAACTACCCAGTATGAACATTTGTATAGCCCTTTGTAAAATGTGCTAATAACGTTATTCTGAGAGTTATTTTCCTCAACATTATGAACGCGGATCTAACCCACGGGACCGCGCCCCCCGGCACGTTCATGTGACGTGTTCAGTACATGAGTTTTACCCATGGATGCACAATAAGAACGGATTATATGATTATATGAATACTTTTGTGACGTTTCGCTCTCTCAAAAGTTGGGCCATTTTGTCTTCATGCGCCAATGAGCAACTCTCATAGGAATGAACGAGGCCCCGCCTCCCACGCTGTATCCAGTTCTTATTATGGTGTCGGGTAAAAGTACTCCGGTGTGAACGCGCCTATAGAAGCCCATGAAGAATGTATCCTTCCACAAATCTTTTCAACTGCTGTATTAATAAAGTTGCCACGTGTTTTCAAATTCAGGTTAAGGCACTATCTGTGCAAAGAATTTAAAATATTCTTAATTTGCAGTATTTAAAAAAAAAAGTGTTCAGAAAGACTGCATCAATGATATGCTATATATATATATGCTATATATATATATATATATATATATATATATATATATAATATCAATATTTGTATTAACTAACCAAAGTCAATTTAAATAGTGGGCAAAAATGGGTTAATTGCCATGCATATGGTGTTTGATATAGTTTACGTTCAATTTCAACTATTTTAGGCAGAAAAACGTATATTGACTAAACCTTCTTTAATAATTTACTATAATTTAGAAAGGTTTTTGTGAGAAATCATTTCAAAAGTAATTTTTCTTTTCATTTTATATTTAAATTTAAAATATTTGCACACAACATTATTAATTTATACATTTTAATAATTGTTTTTAAATTATGAATCAATTTATTTTAATCTATTTGCTTGAGGCTGGGGAAGATATATCAGCATGTAGTTCAACATGCAAATGTTCTAATGCAAGTAAGTATAAGTATAACATGGAAAAGGAAATAAAATAGGTTTCATAAGAGGATGTGGATTTATTTTCTCTCACCTTGTAATTACACAATCAAACAATCTATAATTTAGCTCTGGCCTTCACTCACAAAAAAACATTTTGCTGGATTGGACACATTTTTCGAAGCTCTATTGACTGACATGCAATGACTGGGACTGATGGAAGAATCTGCGAGGAATGAACTAGGAGCAGAGAAATAATCCTATATTAAAAGACAGCAGCATCATAAGAGGGCAACAAGAGTGACAGTGTGTGTCACTTTGCTGAAGGATAGACCAGCTATCCAGGCCAGTCTCTAAAGACTTTCCAAGGTGTAAAATGCTGCTGCCGGAGTACTGACTGGAAGTATTGCTGATATCATGTCTACCATCCTCTTAAAATACTCTGTCCAACAATATCAGTCTCATGAAGAAAGTTTTTTTTAACGCTTATTCAAAATAGCAGAGAAACATGCATTCTTGTTCTCAGGAGGGGACATTGACAGAGGATTATTGGAAAAGTACACAGTAAGTTCTCCATAGTACTTGTGGGGGTAGTTTCACTAGTACTGAGTCCAACAGGATCAATCTCACGAAGAACTAATGGCAACAAAAAAGAATTCCCTCATCAAACTTAGCCGAAGTGGCTTGATTTTGTTATCAGTAGGTGACTTTGACAGAGTATTTCTCAAAAAATACACAGTAAAAGTACTTCAATGTATTGTAAGTAGTAGGCTAACTAATACAAAGTCCAACAGTATCAATTTCATTAAGAACTAATGTAAAAATTGTATTTTTATCATTCATCAAAGATAGCAGAAAAACATGCATTATGTATGGAGGGGACTTTGACAGATTACTCACAAAGTACACAGTAAAAGTATTTCATTTTATTTCTGGTAGAAGTCAAACTAGTACCGAGTCCAACAGTGTCAGTTTCCTTAAGAAGTTGTGGTAAAAAATATTTGTATCACTCGTCAAATATAGCAGGAAAGAAATGAAGAGCAGCTGATTTGAAAAAACTCGAGAGGCGGTTGAGTTGACCGCAGTGCAGAATCGCTGTAGGCCTGTAGTTTAAATCTCCTAACAATGTTGTCCATTTTAGACATAGGCTTATTATTTTTACAGCCCTTAATAACATTCGTTTTCTGGGCTTAAAGTGTGTCTAAATGCCCCTTGTTTATAATAATCACCGTTCCTTTAACAGGATACTGTAGTGATTCAAAGTGTGATTTTAGCATACGAGTGCTTTTGTTTTGAAATCACTTCTGTGAGTTCCGCCCCGCCCCTCGCTCCAAGGACCATTTGACCAAGGTAAGGTAAAAAGCAAAAAGGAAAAACGCCTTGCAGACGCTCTTCCGTTTACTTGTTTAATAAAGAAAAACAAATGGACCGTAGATACACGGATTCTGACCTCATCTGCGCTCTTATTTTGTAAGGTAACTTCTGGTAGCAGAATATGAAAAAACTGTAGTTTTTTTGTTTCTGTTTTCTAGTGATTTTATTTTTTGTTTTGAGAAGTAGAAAATGAAAATCATCCCGTTTTTTTAAGTTTAGTAAATCACTTTTTGACCATGATAAAGAAAAACGCCTTGTTTTTCAATTTTAAAGCGAAAATTAAATATCCAGTCGTGTTTTGTTTTTGAATATCCATTTGTGAAAAGAAAATCCAATAACCAAAACATACACTGGCCATGGGCTTACCATGGAGGAGGAAAAGGAGGCTGAGGGAATCAAAAAAGTTGTGTAGGATTTAGAGAGTACATGATTCTAATGCAACAATCACAGACTGACCTTTTCTTGTGCTTGCGCTCATCCTTCCTCTTATGTTTTAAACTTGAAGAGCTGGTGGGAAGAAAAATAATAGATTTAAGAGCGAGGCGTATAAAGCCTACACAAGCAGCCTGCTTTCTTACTCACATGAAAGGAATTGGCTTTTCAGTTGGAAATCTTACCGAAAGCAGAAGCTAAATATGAACTACTTTATGACACAAATGAATCCAGGTTTACATTTTACATTTTGCTCTTTCAAATGAATATTTAACCATTTGAAAGGCATACATTTTTAATCAAACACATACCTGTGCTTTGACTTTTTGGAGGTATACCTGGAACAGGGGAAAAAAGAGGATTTCAGTTATCTTAAAATAAATGTCATGCCATATTTCCAATATTGTTGTAGAAAGCAAGAACTACCTATGCCGTTTGCTTTTCTTGGAGCTCTTCTTCTTCTTCTTTTTCTTCTTCCTCAGCGGGGACAGGCTGTAGGAAGGAGACCTAAAGCCGGAGAACAAATAAACATGAACTATAGAGAGAACCAAGCTTCTTCCTGTACACATTTTCTTAGTTTGTTTAGTTCAGAGTCATATCATTTTGGGAACTGACCTTTTCCTTTTCCTCTTACGCTCGGACTTTCGCTTTTTCTTCTTCCCCTTGGGCCGAGGGGAGAGCTCCTCATCAAAGGAGGGGCTGCGAGCAGAGACAGAACAGAGGGGGCACGTCAGTCTTCAGTGATATGAAATGGGAAATCTCAGCAGCCGCAGAGATTCTAATATTTCTTCCAATGTTTGGACTTTTGGAATTTTATTTACAGAATATATTGCGTTTGCTGAGAGTTAAAAGGTTATTCCACTCAATTTAGAAAAGTTACTTTTTGCTTCCCTCTTGTATTATCTACCAACACAGATAGTTTCAGTTTTATTTGCCAAGTTGGGGTATCCGTCTCTGATATTTCTTCCTCCACCTTATACAACAGAGGTTAATGGATTCTCAACAGCCCAGTGTTCATGGGAAATAGGTCCATATTGGACAATTCTAGAGCTCGCAATTTAAATGCAATGCCAAAGATAAGTACATACATACAGAGTAGGGTGGTCCTTAGTGCCATGTACATTTTAGAATTCATTTATTATAAGCTCCAACCACCGGAATTCGTTATGATAGTCAAGAAAACTCTCCTGGTGAATTTTATTCAAATTCCAACAGCATTTACCCCTCCCTCATCAACCTTGAAGTTTAGCCTCACGTAGGGTGGTCCTTAAAATTGAAAGTCGGAAAGTCTAAGCTCCAACCCCCAGAATTCATTCTATTAGTCAAGAAAACTCTCCTGGTGAATTTTTTCCTCAATCTGACAACATTTACCCCTCCCTCATCGACCTGGGCTGCCACACCAGCAACCATAAACTGAGGCTAAACTTCAAGGTTGACAACACCGGTGCCCCTCAAGGCTGCGTGCTCAGCCCTCTCCTCTACTCCCTGTTCACCCACGACTGCGTGGCCACACACAGCTCCAACACCATCGTGAAGTTTGCTGATGACACGACCGTCATCGGCCAGATCACAGACGATGACGAGACGGCGTACAGAGAGGAGGTCGAAAACCTGACATCTTGGTGCCAGGATAACAACCTCCATCTCAACATCAGCAAAACAAAGGAGCTGATTGTGGACTACAGGAAGCAGCAGGGAGAGGGACACGCCCCCATCGCCATCAATGGGACTACGGTGGAGAGAGTCAAAAGCTTCAGGTTCCTTGGGGTCCACATCACTGAGGACCTGACATGGTCTCTTCACACCACCACCATCACCAAGAAAGCTCGACAGCGGCTCTTCTTCCTCCGCAGGTTGAGGAGGTTCAAAATGGATTCCAGGATACTCTGCAACTTCTACAGGTGCACGATAGAGAGTATCCTCACTGGCAGCATGACGGCCTGGTACGGCAGCTGCACCGACCTCGATCGTAAGGCTTTACAGAGGGTGGTGAAAACTGCACAGCACATCACCAGGACGGAGCTGCCATCCATGGAGGACCTTTACTCCCAGCGGCTCAGGAAGAAATCACTACGGATTATCAAAGACCCCCATCACCCCAGCCACAAACTGTTCTTTCTGTTGCCGTCTGGCAGACGTTACCGCAGCATCCTGGCAAGGACAAGAAGATTCGGAGACAGTTTCTTCCCGCGGGCAGTGAGACTGTTAAAAAATTGAACTGTTGAAACAACTTCAAACATTCAACTGCTACTCAGTAGTATGTATCTAATACCTAATATATATATATCATTCCAATAACTTGTATATAGACTCATACTGCACTATTCCACATCATAACTTTATTTCATTTTTATAACTATTATTATTTTTGTATTGCTCATGCTCTTATTGTTATTATGTTATGTTATTATGTTGCATTGTTGGAGAAGCCTGTGACATAAGATTTTCAACTGCATAATTACTCTGTAGCTATGTCAGATTGACAATAAAGAACCTTGAACCTTGACCTGCTTTCCAGGCAACAGGGTTGACGATCCTGTGGTGGTGCTCAAAGTATTACAAAATACCTAAATTGGAACCAAGTATTTAGGTTAATAGTGGTTCTTTGTCCATTTCAAATTTCACTTTTCAAGGCTATGAGCGCAACTAAAGAGAATTGTGAAAATGAGTTTTTGTGCCATAGCCCTTGCTGGAGGCAATATATTATAAGTTATTTACCAATTTTTACATGTGATACTCCAGTGTAAAAGTTGCTTACTTTTCTACAGTTTTCTATACCTTTCATGTCATACAAAAATGTTTTTCCTAAATTATTTTCAGGCAAATAACCCTCACAGAATGAGTGGGGTAAAATAATCCACATGACTCATGGCTGGCATCACACAACTGCACGCAAATGCATCCTGATTCCCTCTCACAACAAACACAAGCAAGATTATCTGTGAGCTGAATGTCCTATACCCGATGATCCCATCACAACAGCATGATGAAATCCTATCGGGACTGTTTTAAAGTACAAAGCAGATCGCATGCCAGTGAGCGTCACTGAAGTTGAGGCTGATGACACCATGGCCTCTCTCAGAGGGGGAGATAGATCTGTGATACACCCCATCCCCTGCCAGCGCCCATAGCTTAAGCCTTGGAATCTGTGTTGTGCATTTCTATTGGCTGTAATAATTGTATATTTTCTACTGTACCAACACATTTACGGTACAAAACATAACCTGTAATCTTTCACTGTGTTCAATGTACACTTGGGCAGTAATCCCTTCAAAATATTACCTTTATGAATGTAAGAATTGATTGTTTAATAATATGCTTTTTTTATCCTGATAATTAAAACATTTTGGATTCTTGTGAGAAAAACTATGTTAGGAAAAGTGTTTTTATTTATCTTAGTGATTCTCTATAATTTAATTGAGTATGGGTACTTAGAGAGTACTAAGAGACCTGTTTTACTTTTATTGATCACTGAGCATTTGGGATCTGAGTAGCTGCGACTTGGCTGTGTGACCAAATTATGACACTGCAGGTATATTTCTCCGGACGCACCAAAAGTGTAAGGAAGTGTGCATGAATTTTTGGCGCAAAAATACCAGTCCAAACAAATCCTTTCCAAAAAGGCACGTTTTGCACAAGTCATTACCAAGAAACGAAACTTGTCTGATTCCATCTGTTGAACAGCTTGACTGCTGTCCAGAGGTCCACTTAATGTTCTCTCTGAAAATGACTGATGTGCGAAGGGAGATGAGGGCCTTTGAAGCACCACAGGTTCACTGAGTGAGCCTTTCAAGTGCAGACCAACTGAATCTCATAAGAAGCAAAGACAGGTGGGTGTGAGCGAGCATGTAGGGTGGTACAGGGTAAAGGAGAGATGTACAATAACATCATGTTGAATGCAACTCACTCCGGCAGCTTCACCTTGCCTTTGATAAGGAGGTTTAACATTTGCTTCATTTGGAAATCAGGAAATGGTGTCTGGTGTAGGTTGAACCTGAATTGATGTAGAATTAATGTAGAAGTGATGGAGTGTTAACATCATTAATAGTAGGGTAGTAAATAAGGTAGAGGAGGGAGTTGGCATGGAGACAAGATGCACTAAAACTACTGCACTGGCATTTACTCAGATACAGACAGAAATATATCGCTACATGCACACAGAAGAGTTTTATGGATTTATAATTGAAGCTTATCCAATGAACAATGCATCCGTATTTCCAGTCCACACAGAAGGGGCCTTTGTGACTAGCAACTCAAGGAAAGTCAACCTTAACCTTTCATTTGTTAAACGTCAAGTTCCTTTCACTACTTACTATTACATTTGTATTGTAAACTCCAACCAGCTTTGAGCCAAGCCTCTCAGATTTGTTTTGATCCTCCATCAAGTGAGAAACAAGCTTTCAATCTTCTCAATCCCCAAGTACTAGACATATCAAATCTTTCTCAAAAATAAATCGGGAATAAATAGGGAAGATCAGAAAAATATATATTTTTCCTGGCAGCTCTTCTTTGAAGAACTAAATGTAATGATTATTGTTAATTATTTGGTCAAGCAAAAACAAAAAACATTCACAGGATCCAGGTTCTTCAATTGTTATAAGTTGCTGCTTTTCTCTCACTCCTGTATGTTAATATAATTCTAAATGTAATGTCTTTGTGTTCGAGACTGTTGGTCCATTATCAATATGACTTTTGAGACTCATTTCTGAGGTTTATTGAACTCAAGATAATCCACATATTAACCACTCCCTTAAATTGCTGTATGCAGTGTAGCATGGCTCTCATTGGCTCAGTTGTTTCTGGGGCCATTTAGATTAAGTGTTTACAAAGAGCCTTGCGCTAGACAAATGAACGCAAGCAGCAGACTCCTCCTCGAGAAACATCTGCCGCCATCCACCGTGACTCAAGGACGTGGGGAAGGTGAAGCTTCAGCTGAATTCAAGGACACGCAGGAGTGGCAATCAATCAAGTTTTTTTATAGATTCCTTCGTGACACACAAGTATAGTTGTTTTCTTCTCCACTGAAAAACAAAAACACCAACTAGCAACCCGGACTTTAGTTAGAGAAACGATGCGTGTAAACTAAACAATTACTATTAATGCTACTTTGAATTTGGATGAATGACATTTATGCAAAAAATTATATTTAAACATGCATCAATGAGATGCAACTGTCCTTCGAGATTTTATAGTAAGCCAACATTTCTTTTGAATAACACAAACATTGGAAACTGTAATTTACTAATAAAGTTCTTCATTTTAAGTGGTTTCAATTAACATTATTAATATCTAAATAATATTTTTGACGAAAATAATATCTGTATCAGACATTTTTAAAAGGGGGCCTATTATGCTTTTTGAGGGGTGTCCCTTCCCTGTAGTGTGTTCTATAGGTTTTTGTGCATGTAAATGGTTTGCAAAGGCTAAAATCCCAAAGTTCCCTCCAGAGGAAGTTTCCCTCCACAGTCCGCCCCTGCCTGAAACGCCCTGTGTGTAGTCCTTGGTTTACTTCCCTTTACATAGTGACATCACTATGTAACACTCGTGCTTCTATTGACTAGCGCTCCAACACATTGTACGTAATAGGCTAAGTGGCGGGACATCTCTAAGCGGTTGACCAATCACAACAGAGCCGGCCGGCTGACATGGGCTCTGGTTTCAGACAGAGGGGGTAAAGAGGTGCTGCAGCACAGGCAGTA